GTGACCCAAGCTTCAAAGCAGTGCTTCACTTCTAGCGCGGAATGGCCCCTCCTCCCTTTCCTACCTCCATGGAATATATGTATGTTACCCGCATTGTGAAAAAAACGACGGTACCTAGAGCCATCAAATTTTGAATAATGTAGTCCGGCACCCGAATATAGGCACCTGGACATCCGAATTTTGAATTTCGAATTTGTTTTATTATGCAATTCACATTTTGTGCAACTTTAACGAATTTTTGGTTAACAAACTCAACGGTTTCAAAGCGAGAAGTGGCAACACTGCACAGAAAAAAAATTATCTCCAGTGCGCGATACTGTCTATTGAGAATTCCAAAGATCCTCTGTTTTAAAATATTTTGTGATTTTGCTGTTGAATTGAATTTTATGCGGTTAAGTGGGAAAAACGTGGTATTTAATAAATATAGGTAACACACAAAACGTTAAAAAAACGCCCCTTTGGGTGTAATATAAAATCTGAAAGCTTCCAGATTTATTTTGTTCACTCTAGGGATATTAATTATGAAAGTTGATGAAATTGGTCGTGACTAGGTGAGTTCTTAAGGTGAAATTTATTGAATAGGTATGTTCCAAATTATATTTATTCAATAAAATCGTGTATTTTAAAATCGTTTCAGAAATTAAGTATTTACTTTTAAAAAGAAATAAATATTAAATTTTTAATTGACTTACTTCTCTAGTTTCTAGTCTCATTCTTCCATTATTATTAGCTAAGTTTTACTTAGCTAATAATAATGGAAGTTACAACTAATAAATAAACTATAAAAGACTGATATAAAGTGAATTTGAGTGATGTTTAAGCAAAAGTTATTTTTTTTTTTTTCATTTGAAAAAGCGATTCGGTAAATTTAAAACACTGTACGTATTTTGAAATATCAGGCACAGAGATTAAGAATTTTTAATTTTTATTTTTATTTTTTTCAATAAAATGTATAGATTATTTTGAGCTAAGGCACAGAGATTAAGAATTTTTATTTTTTATTTTTATTTTTTTCAATAAAATGTATAGATTATTTTGAGCTATCAGCATATGAGCTATCAGCATATCACTAGCGTGGTAGCTTAGCAACCAATTAAACCCTGCTGCAGATTTAATATTTTCACAACGGCAGATTGCAGGCCTCACCGCACTGTCATTTTATGTACTACTAGCGGAAGTACCCGATGCCAATTAAGTTAGATTGAGAGTAATGTATCTAACAACAGAGAGAACGATACCGCTGTAATCCTTCTCTAATAATGATGCAAAAATTACGATTCATAGTCACGCATTTTTCAGTCTGATGCGATATGGAACCTACATACAAAATTTCGATTGAAAAATAAACTAATTCTCTCTCATTATACCAGCAACAATGGCAAGCAGTTTTAAAAATTTTCGGCTTTCTTTTAAAATGGTCTTAAAAGCTCACGTTCCGTCCAATATTTCACCTATATTCCATATTAGTCATTAAATGTGCCAAAAAAATTGATCATGATTGATCAGAAATCAATAAAGCAAACAAACAAACGAACACAAAAAGAGGCATTCTCCTTTAAACACAGACTTTGTAAAACTTACAAATTTTTTATTAACAAACTGTGCGATTTGAGAGCGAGCAGTGGCAACACTTCTCGAAATGAAACAGATATTTATCTCCAGCGTGCGAGACTGTTGCCACTCGGAAAAATGTTCACTCATTTACATGAATGTTACTCATTCATCATGAAAATTAGCTTTTGAAGAGTTTTAAATTAATATCCCTGATTTTAGCTATTTGGAGGGGGGAGTGGACATTGATCTTTTCCAGGACCTAAAAAAGAATTGTAAAAAGTTTAGTGACGATAGCTATAGTAGAGACTGAGTTAATCGCGAGCAAACGAACACACAAACAGACAGTCTTCTTTCTATATATAGATTCTTGTATTTCTTTAAGGTATGCAAGTTATATCCTGATAGTGAAAGTGAAATAAAGCAGTTAATTAAACACTTAATTGTCGCGCAGACTTAGTCTAGTTATTTATATTGTTTTTCAAGCTTCTTTGGAAATTTTTAGAATATATTTTAGATGTCTGTAGCTGAAATCTGTTCGACCACAAACAAAAACTCTTTTTTTTCCAACATCAGATTTTTATTACTTTTGAGTATTTGCTTCTTTAAAATGAGATTTTGATATTAAGGGTGTGGAGATCATGTTCGACATAAACTTTTTCTTAATTCCTTTAAACTAAATTTGCAGGTATTTACTTAAATGGTTGCAAACAGGTAATAGTATCGTCTAAGATGTGTTCAACGGTTTTTAATTATTAATTATTATTATTATTATTATTATTTTGACATCTTCACATGAATTCACATGAAAAAATCAAATAAAGTGTGACTCGTCTTGCACTTTTCTGTGTTTCCTGCAGAAAATTATTTCGCGCATATTATTCTCTAATGGAAAACATCCAAGAATTCGTTTCATGCATAGGGGAATTCATATATGAAAGACACATTCCTCAACACAGTCCTCTGCTATTGAAAATAGCTATTACCACTGTAGAGACATTAGGATTTTTTTCGAAGCAGGCAAGATGAAAAATTAGCAACGCCTTCGCCGGGAATCGAACCGCGGACCTCTAAATTACGCGCTGAGCGTGCAGACCACTACACCACGATGGCTCGCCAAGAAGGTGGACGAAATACCTTATAATACAACCGTAATTAATCCCTTCGAGAGCAGAAAAAAATTAAGAATTGAAATAGCCTTTTTTTTTTCCTGTCAATAAAAAAAAAAAAAAAAAAAAAAAAAAAAAAAATGTTTTTAAGTACCATGCAATTCATTTATCAGTGAAATTCGTTAAAATCGAAGCTTCGTAATAGAAATAGTGACATATCTTGCCTTGCGTTATGCTCTATTTTAAGTTCAATCTATTAATTTGTAACTAACAAATGGCAACACTTAACTTTTAATGCTTTCATAAACACAAAGTCACGTTAAGAAATAAGTTAATCCATTGTGGATATCTTCAGCCGACCTTTTAAACAATTTCTGCTTTTCAATAAAATTTTCAGAAGGACCGTTGGCAACCTACTTGAACTGAAACATCTTTCAGAATTTTGTTCAAAAGAATTATGGCGTTACAATTTCCTGTTTATTATGAAGTCCTCTGTGAAAGGGCGCGGTAGGAAACGAAAATATTCTACCTGACCGTGAGGTTAAAGAACCATCAATGTACTAATTCACCTGTAACCGTAACTGCTCGAAAGAAACTGACCGTGGAATAGATAAGGTACACAACAGTGAACTTAATCGTGGGAAGCATAACTGCAGTCCTTTCTCTCTCTCTCTCTCTATCTATCTATCTATCTCGCTTCCTTTAATTTTTCGTAAATTTTCCGTATTAAGGATATTCGGTCATTTAAATCAACGCTTTTCCTTAGTAGCCAAAAATAAAATTTTTGCTGTTTTAAGCAACAAAGATTAGTAACAGCGCGTACGGAAATCCCTCGATGACACAAATAAATCTTTTACTTCTACACAGTTAGGTGTGTTACCTCGGATTTTTACTATAATAGGAGACGAAAGATGTATTTTCATTAATTTTAAGACAAGTAACTTTCTTTAAAATCACAACGGATTTTTAATAAATAGTTTAGTGCAATAAATCGACTCATTTTCTTTATTTTTTTTTTTTTGTCATGTTATAAAGTTATTTTCTCTCTGTTTACTTCACGCCTTCGCGGTGTTATTGGAAACACGTCCGACGCGTAATCGGAATGTCTTGAATCCCGACAAAGACATTGCGGATTTCTTCATTTTCTTGACATCGTTTGTGGTTTGGTATATTTAGTTATGGCAAAGCACTCTGGTGCTATCTGCCTAAAAGGAGAGGTACCTTCGAGGAGGAATTTCTAAAAAAACTAGCTCTTATACACATTAAAAATCAGAAAAAACCACGAAAACACCCATGTAGCTAGGCTGTTCTCCGGGATTCGAACCTAGATCGAACTACCAACGTTCAGCGGCTTAAACCGCTCGGCCACTTGTGAGCCTTATTTCTTGACATTGAAATAATTATTAATAACTCAACAAGTAGTGCCCAAACTAAGAAGCTAGTGGACGATAACTCGTCGTACTGGACACGGCCGGCTCGCCGGCTCGTGTCGTTTGTTGTTGGAAGGGTTGCGCCCTCTTTTCTTCATAAGGTTCAACAAACCAGGCGGAAGGGCTGCGCCCGTATAAAACAAAACAAAACTCGTCCTACTGGTCTCTGACGATTGCGTCCTCTCATCCCCAGTCTTCTATTTAAGGGGGAAGAATATAATATATTTTTCCTCTCCCTTCCGCGCGGTGTAATGAAAAAACATCCGACGAGTCCGCAATTCAAATCCTTTTTATGTTTTCTCCATCGATGTTACCCCGTGTCTCTGCAATGTTACAATGAAACAATATGAGTACATTCAACAGATCAGTTAATTTACTGAAACTTATTAGGCTTTTTGCATGTATTTTATTATTATAGTCGATGTTCCTTATAGTGACCTCTTGTGTACTAAAGCAAAAGAACTTTATAATAAATAAATGCTATAAAAAAAGATGTAATATATTTCAGGCATTCGAAGGCTTTTGGTACCGGTCATCATAATGGAATGGGAGTAATAATGAGTAATGGTTACAACGAGATTCGACAGTATTATCTTACATTGAATATTAAAATTAGAACATTCGAGGACTGTTTGCTTAAGGGAATGAATGCTTACATGGAAGGCTGGCTCGTATTAAAAGGATCTGGCTCGTATTCACGTTACGCACAGGAAAGACCACAAACCCTGCCAAGCGGCTAGCCCATTCATTGAGAAAACTAGAATCCTAAAATTATAAGGATCCTGCAACACCAGCAACAAAACTAATGGATCTTTCATACAATTATGAAATGGCCTCATAAATTACGAAGTGCTTAGTGTTGTGTATTTACTTTTATTCCCTAAATTAATAAATTGTCTTTATTTTCTAGGTTTCGAAAGCTCTCAAAGAAAAATTTGGAAATCTGTATTCAGAAGACAATGTCCTAATTACAGCAACTCACACACATGCAACCCCCGGTGGATATCTGCAGTATCTTCTGTACTTGATTCCGTCTCAAGGATTTATCCGTCAGACTTTTATCAGCCTTGTCCAAGGCATAGTAAAGGTATAGAGAGATTTCAAAGTTTCGAAATACCTCAGTATATTTTATTATTATTTTTTTATATTTTCAACTGCATAGAGTATAAGTCTGCTATTTGATAATGCTGTGCTGTTGAAGAGAAACAATTTCCTACGCTGTTTGAAAGCTTTTTGACTAGATTTGAAATTTTTCACAAGTCCTGTAAGTACTGTACATCAAGAGAAAAAATTCCCCAAGGAAATTTTCATTTAGAAAACTACGTTCTGGCAGGAAAATGTGTTCTTAGGTAGTAGCAATTAGTCTGTGGCAATTATTTTTCACTGCATGAATGGTAATAGACGTAATGTGAAATATTTCAGATGATTTACACAACTGAGCTATTATTATGTTCTTGCATAAAGCATAGTTATTCATAATTTGTTACTCCTCTGCTGGTTAATTATATGTTTTGGCAGACGTAAAAAATATTCTAAATACACTCACGTCTATAAATTAAGGATAATGCCAGCTCCGACAAATAAAGGTTCAGAAAACAAAAACAAACGTGACTTATTCAGAAAGCACATTATTAAATAAAAGATAAAGCACAAAAAAGATGGTGTATGCATGATACCATTCATAAAAACTACGACTTTTACTCCCGGGAGCAAACAAAAAATATCTTCCTTACAAAAACTTGACATTACATGGTTGGTGTGATAGTTAATACATTGTATGTCATTGTCACGGGATGCAATTCGTAGGATAAGCATGTCCCACACATGCCTAGCCTAGTATGGCAATTACAAAAAACACCGGAAAGAGAAATAACCCATGTTATAACAAGCAGAAAAATAGTTTGAGTAATTTACTTACTTTATTTAAGTAGTTTAATTTGAAGAATAAGTTCATTCGGCTGCGTAAATTAATTCAGAAATATATTTTGCATCATACTCAATCAGATTACGGTACTTATGTATTAACGAAATCACCATGCCGCAATTTAGCGAATTTTGCAGATGAAAATGTAGAAGTTACTCATCAAATGCAAGTTGATGGTTTTCGCCGCTCATTTTTTTAAGAAAGATTCCTAAACTATCGTCAGTCTAATTCAGAAGTCAAACAACAAAAATCAGCGTTATATTTTCAAATTTTCGCAGGACTAGTTTCGATGGTTTAACCGAATCATCATCCTCAGCTAAAACATAATTTCTTTAAAGGCTGAAGGCAAAGATGGATTGGAATTAGGGTCGTTAACTAGAACAGAAATATTTTTTTGAATGCAAAATGCCACTATAAAATTCAGTTCACCAATGGAAGATGTTTTTTGAATAATTTTGGCAGCAGAAAAATTGAAAGTATGATTTTCGGACCAACAATGTTGGGCAACAGAAGACTTCTGTGTTTCCTTTTTCTAAATATACCTCATATTCCTTGACGCGAATTTTAAGGCTCTCTTAGTTTGGCCAATGTAAATTAAAACCACACTGGCAAGGAATTCTGTAATACTCCAGGGTTCATATCCGGAATGGGGTCTTGAATATAGAACTCGGAATTTTATTGATGGGAGAATAACGACCCGAAAGTTAAATTTCTTGCAAATACGTGCAACTTTAGAGCTAATTGACGGAAAAAAGGGAACGACAACAGAATTTTTATAATCTCCTAAAACAAGAGTGTGCCTTTTGGTGTGTTGAGATGAGAATATTTTAACTGCTTGATTAAAAATGTTGGGTGAAAAGCCCCTGTCAATAGCTATTGCTTTTAAATAATTTAATTCTTCATCAAGGAATAGCTAGGATGAGCAAACTTGGAGAGCACGGAAAACATAGGAATAAAATGAAGCTAATTTTTGTTTAGTCGGATGACATGATTTAAAGTGTGGTGGAAAGCAAATCGATGAAGGTTTACGGTAAACCGTAGTACTGAAGTTGGACGTGTTACTTGTGACCAGAATGTCGAGAAACGGAAGAGAATTGCAAGTCTCAAGTTCAAAAGTGAACTGAATGGCAGGATCAATAGAATTCATTGTTGAAAGAACTTTATTTAAATCATCTTTATTACCTTCAAACAGGGTAAAAGTATCGTCTACGTAGCGGAACCCTACCGGGAAGTTTAAAGTTTCAAACAATTTTGATGCCAGTCCCATCCTGGCTGATATCTACATGCATTATTATGAATCTATAATTCTATAATCCTGCAGACGTTTTACAGCATTTTCTTCCAATGCTGCGAATTCTACAAACTCATATTTTAAAACGAAGTTTAAAGCAAAAAATATCACCATTCGGCTTATAAAAAACCGTTGAAACTTGAAATAGAACAAGAAAGAAAGCATACGAAATTGGCGACGTTGCTTGATGGAAGGATTTTTATCAGTGTGGCTGCCGTGTAAATAACCAACAGCATTAGTTTTGTGTTTATTAATTAAATTAATACATGATAGAAATTTATTTGTGTCTAATCAACGCTTTTCTCCTTTTCCAGAGTGTGGAGAGAGCTCATGCGAACATTCAACCTGGATACATCTACTGGAACGAAGGTGAAGTTCAGAACGCGAGTATTAACAGAAGTCCAACGGCCTATATCAATAATCCAGAGGAAGAGAGAAACAGGTGAGTAAAACTTCCTGACACACTTGCCTATTACGTGATCACCATTTCGGATTTACGGAGAACCATAGTTTGGTGCTTGTGAACCTACGGTTGGTTGTTAAAGAAAGTTCCTTAGAGAAAAGTGAATGTTTAGAACTTTGAAAGGAAATTTTACTTTGCGGGTTATAAGGTTTTAAATTGCTTACATCTTCTTCAGATGAAATAAGAATTATTTTCGAAGAATATATTATAAAAAGTAATTTCATTTGCCGAAAGAAAAGGCAAATGTTCGGCTTTCTTGGAATGCCATTGAAATAAAATCGTTTTGAGTGTAGTATTAAAATGAAATGCAATCCATGACGAAAAGTGAATGTGGGATGTGGTAATAAAACAAATTTATATGCATACCTTTTACCTGAAATTAATCCTCAAAAATTTTGAAATTTTGAAAATTACTTTTCAAAATTTGTTATGGAACATGTATTGATTACTTTGAAGCATTTTAAATTTTGCAGTGAACGTTTGTAGTTCTTACAACTTCTTTTCAGTAGTAGCACTTAAAGCCTTTTGTGATGTCTTGCAATTTGCCGCAAAACATATTTATGCAATATGAAAATATTTACGAAACACATTTGGTGTGTAAACCACGTGACTTCTTTGTACTGAATCTTAAATTATACGCATTTTTCTTCCATTTCAGACTTATTGGATTGAATTAAATCTACATCGTCGATAGCGCGTAAACCACAATAACATAAATGCACTCTTTAAAATTCACGATATTTGTTTACCAGAGTGTGGAGAGCGATTTTACCATAACGACACTCTGACGCTAGGTTCTCTTAACAGCGTTGTTTTTGATTCATTTAATAACTCAGAATGCACAAAATTTACATCATTTGAAGAATTACCCAATCGTTGCTACACATTCTGTTCAAATACTATAATAAATCTAAAACGATATATAAAAGAAATTAAGGTCACAACAACAAAAAAAGAAACTGTTTTTCACAGACGATTCAGTATTTCTCATTCAATTAATTCAATTCTCACTTCGCTACAAGGCAAAAATACATAAAATCTCCAATTACCTATATTAAAAATTACGAAGTAAATCTTAAACACTTATTTCTTCGAATAAATACCAGAATGGATTAAGCGTGATCTAATTCGCAATAATAAAAGAAGGCGTTATCTTTGTTGTTACGAAGCTTAAAATCTCTAGATTGGCAGAAAATCCACTACTCTGCTAATTTTTAAATGTAAACATGTATGGCAGCCATGGCAAAAATAATTAGATTTAGCCGAACTTAAACAAATTTTAAATTGTTGATAATTATAAAAATATTGCATGCAGATTTACTAAAGGCATAAAAACCTTAACCGGAAGATAAGAAGAACATAATTCAATCGTTTTTAAAGCAAAAAATGCCCAATTCACAAACATATAACAATAAAGAAACTGAGATCACTGAGCCGAGTAACAGAGTGGATATATATACACATATATTTAAATTTAAACAAATTAAATTTTAATTTTAACAAACACGTATAAAAGTAAAAAAGCAAATTTAATGCCAAAATTTAAAAAAAGCAAATTTAAAGCCAAAAAAAAATTTTTTTTTAATGTGTGAAAACAAAACTATTAAATAAGAAAGTTGTATTTAAAATTTATAATAAAAAGAGAAACAACCAGGCAATTAGCGCTAAAGCTGCTAAGTACAAACAAAATTGTTTCATAATAAAAAATTTAATTTAATTCAATAATTAAATTTAATACATTTCTTAAATAATCTTTGCGCAATTGCTACAAGGAATGAAATTTAAATTTAAAACAAATAAATTTAAATTTTAACAACACGTATAAAAGTAAAACAAAATTAAAGCCAAAATAAAAAAGCAATTTAAAGCCAAAAATTTTAATATTTAAAAAATGTGTGAACAAAACTATTAATAAGAAAGTTGTATTTAAGATTTATAATAAAAAGAGAAACAACAGGTAGTTAGCGCTAAAGCTGCTAAGTACAAACAAAATGTTTCATAAGAAAAAATGAATTTAATTAAATAAATTTAATTTAAATAAATTAATTAATTTAAATACAAATTTAATTAATAATTCTGTGCGCCATTGCTGCAAGGAATGAAATTTAAATTTAAACAAAAAAATTTAATTTAATAAACACGTATAGCCAGTAAAAAAGCAATTTAAAGCCAAAATTAAAAAGCAAATTTAAAGGAAAAAATTGTATTAATTTTATTATTTATTTAAATTAAATTTATTTAATTAAATTCAATTTTTCTTAAGAAACAATTTTGTTTGTACTTAGCAGCTTTACGCTAATTACCTGGTTTTTTTCTCTTTTTATATAAATTTAAAACAACTTTCTTATTAATAGTTTTGTTTCACACATTTTTTTTTTTTTTTTTTTTTTTTTTTTTTTAATTTCTTGGCTTTAAATTTGCTTTTTTTAATTTTGGCTTTAATTTGCTTTTTTACTTTTATAGTTTGTTAAAATTTAAATTTAATTGTTTAAATTTAATTCATTCCTTGCAGCAATGGCGCAAAGAATTATTTAATTAATTTGTATTTAAATTTAATTAATTTATTTAAATTAAATTTATTTAATTAATTCAATTTTTTTCTTTACCATATATTTACATATTTTGGGCGGCCGATTGCACAAAATACGAGGTGCAGATCACATGTTATAGCAGTCCTATATACAAAATTTTAAAGTTCTAAAGCGGCCGAGCGGTAAAGTCGCTGAACACTGGTAGTTCGGTCCCGAGGTTCGATCCCCGAACGGGCTGGCTGCATGGGTGTTTTCGTGTTTTCCCCATGTGTACGTGTATACGAGCCAGTTTCCTTAGAAAGTCCTCCACAAAGGCATCCCTCCCCTTAGGCAGATAGCCCTAGTGTGCTTTTGCCGTAATTAAAATACACACACACACAAAATTAAAGTTCTAAGGCTACTCGTTTTCAAGTTATGCCAGATACGTACATACGTACGCACAGACCCCACGAAAAATTCTCTTCAGAATTCTTTTTATTTCATTTCTATTTATTCAGAATTTTGGGAGGAAAAGAATCCTTTATTCTGTCCTTACTTACAAATGTCAAGCAAAAACATCGTTAAAATTGCATTCGATAGCGGTCAAAATGGATATTTTTGTTGAAATATGATACCTAAAATTTTTCGCGATTACAATTCTTCCTTTTTACTTCGTAGAAGGAAGTAAAAAGGATAAAAATCGGATTGCTAGGTTTTTCAGCATATTTATCAAAGCTTTGACACTTTTGCAATTTTTTATTCACTTGAAGCTTTTGCTTAAGCTATTTTGTAAAACTTTTCATCTCTTTGATTTTTCATGGAACTATAACTTATGTAAACTTTCATTACTTATTGAAATTTATTCCATTTGAAAAATAAATTTCGTAAGAAAATTTAAAAAATGGAATTTTCTGTCTGATTCAAAATTGACATTAATTTTCTTTTTAAACTTAGTTACTCATCTAATCAATTTTTTTCTAAATTGTAATCAGTTGTAAAATATGTGAAATTTATATTTTCTTTCGAGTCGTATCAGAGCAGGCTGTATCTTGATGAGCGCTTTAAAATTTAAAAAAATTGATTCAAGTGTTTACTTTGGTATTAATTGTGTTTCATTTTTTTTATTTTTAAATTTTTAAAATATTAAATTTTTAATTTAATCGTTTTTTTACTGTTAAATTTTTTCAGTAATTCATCAAACCTTCAAAATATGGCTCTTTTGAAAATTCTCTTCTCCCGTCCTGATAGGGACCTAAGAATTATCACCTTTATTAAATAGATTTGTTTTTATATAATACGAGTACAAATATCTATATATATATAATAGGAGAAATATTGTAGCGAGCTTGCTAAAAAGTTACCAATCGCAGAATTTTACTTTTAGTCCTACTAAATAAATTTTAAAATTCCCTAATTTTAAAGTTTTTGTTCTTGTTTTTCTTTACTACATGTCTATAACTTGTCCAATGAGTTCTTATGTTGGACGAAATGTTATAAAGGTAAATTCAATTTAATTTGAAACAAAGCACTAGTTTTATCTTTAATACCAGAGCACCAAGTACATATGGCAGTTTCTAATAACTAAAACTTTATTACTAACTTTAAATTGCAGTTCAGAATTGAAATAATTAATAAAATTAATTTCCATGTTTTGCTGAATTAACAGACAAACATTATTTAAAGTATTTACAAGTTAGAAACGTGAATTTATAATCCTGCTGCATGGTTTTGCTGTTCTAACAATATTAACGTAATTTTCAATTACGAAAATGCTCATTAAACTGATAGCAACAGCGCTGACGGCAGATAATTTCACAGAAGCTACACAACGGTCTATTGAAATTTGCAACAGAAGTCTCTCTCTCAAACTTAGATTTTTCAGTCATGTTTAAAACTAATATTATTTACATATTCTGGTGGACTAGACGAAACAGTAGAAGTGCAGGTCAGCTTTTAACATAAGAAATAACGCATTAATTAAGATTAACCTCACAAGTGTTGTTAAATGTTACGTTTCGCTCTAGAAAATTTTCTACATACATTTCTAATGATAATAACAACCAGTGATCCTGTTTGTTGATCCGATCTAATTTTCAACAAAAAATATATTCACAAATTTTGCTGTTCCAGCAGTAGTATTATAACTCTGAAAAATTTGAATTTTTGCTTCAGTAAGGTAAGCTGTATGTGTATCTGTGTTGTATTTTTAGATTTACATCCTTAGCCAAGAAAATCATATTAGTTCCCTAGTGATAAAAAAGAAAACAAAAATGCATTTTTTAATAAAATAAAAAATAAAATAATTTCACTGCAAATAAATAACTTGCACTTTTGCAGATAATAATAATAATAATAGGCTCGTCCGGTCAAAATTCATCCGAAAATACGAAGTTCTTCCTGTCTTTTGTTTAGAAAACATGTTACCCAGCAAAATGGTATTTCGCTTTCTTTCAATTAAACATCGGTTTTATCTTCATTATTACCTATCGCCAACCTATATATATATATATAGGTAAGGAAGTTAATGTTTTCGGTCCAAAAATTCAACAATGTGTTTTCAATGAATAAGTACGAATTAGTAATCCCACAACACATTTTTGCTGTTTTTAGAATGATGTCTCGCTGTGTGTACGTGTGTGACGAATTTTGTCGTCCGTGATAACTGTTATATGAAACTTTCAAAAACGTTCATTTTCCGTCTTTAAGCGTTTTACATATAATTAGATTTGGGGTAAAATTGGACAAACGGAAGTGGTACTTAACAAACTTTTCAGTTTTAGCATTTAATATTTTTATATCAATGGGAACAATATATTAGACTATGGCTTAAACTGGTAAACTTAGTGATATTTTACTTGAAACTGCGAACAGATTATAGTGAACGAATATATTATGAGAGAATCAAAAACTCCACAAATTTGGTATTTGAAATAGTGTCACTGAATGCGTTTATTTATGTTCGTATACAGTTTCTATTCGTAAGAATTTTATTATGCAATACAGGATGACGACAAGGGATAGAACAAACACAATTCTTTAACTGTGTAACATTAAGTGTGGATGTAAGATCTATAAACGAGTTGCCAAGTGTACTTGGATAATTCGAAGGTACCGTGTTCAGATTAAAGTACTGTTTTAGGAAATCGACTGTTTTTTCATTTCTTTTCATGTCTACATTAAAATCTCCCATCAAAATAAACGATACTTCTGAATCTATATAGAACTCATATCAAGTATGGAATGCCGTCTCAACCTGAAGTTTAAAATCTTAGAATTAGTCTCACGTTTCGCAGGATAAAAATTTCGAAAATTAAAAAACGACAATTGGATGATGATGAAGAGGAAGTTCAAGAGGATGACTGGCTTGCCAACTACACGAAATTTGCTCCTGAAAATATCTTTATGCCCGATAATCAAGAAAAAGAAAAGAAAAGTTGATAATGCAGTGGACTTTTGGTTGGGAATATTTTGTATCTCTCATTCAGTTCGAAAACGGAGTGAACATTTATCTACGTGAATTTGTAAAACAAAACAAAAACTTGTATCCTACTATACGCAGTGTTGTTATGACTCCTACATGGCAAGAGAATCTCCTTTTATAGCTACTGGGGGGGGGGGGGGGAGTGAGCCAATCTTATTCTCCCTGGATTAAAAAGCGAATGGAAAGAGGCACGAAGCCAAGTCGACCAAATCCAGGAGGTGAGAGTTATTATGCATCAGTTTTATTTCGAGGGCTACTGCAGAGATCATTTTGTTTTTTCAGAGCCGTGAAATTTCAATATTCAACTGGGCTCTAGCTGGGATTCAAACTATGGATCTTTTAATTGTAGCTGGACACTTACACCATGAGAACATGCATAGACAAAAGTAATAATTCCATACGTTCTTCCCATTTAAAAGGAATGAAGGGGAGAGGCATGAGACCCACTCGATCAAATCTAGGTATAGATGGATTACCGTCGGCCACATTTTAGTTTGGATGCTACAATAGTCTTTCGAAGCCAGTAAATATGATAAATTAACAGTGCCCTTTCAACCACAGATCTCCCAATGCTAACTGTTAATTACGTAGATTTCGAAAGCATGCGAAAGTAAATGTGATAGTTCCTTACAAATCGATATTTTAATTCTCTCCTGAAATTATTTATAATTTTTCGGAAGAATACAAAATTTCATTAATGATTGCTTCAAAAAATAAATGACATGAAATAAATGAAGAACCTGGGAATAAAAAATTGATAGAAAATCGCAAAATAAAATAAAAAGAAAATAATTGTATAAAAAATAAAAAAGGCCTAACAAAAAAGATGTTTTTTTTGTTTTGTTTTGTTTTGTTTTCTAGCACGTGTTGATTAGCTTTACTCAAATTTTTGTACTTTGTAGCATCACTAAAATTTTTGTATTTTGTAACAATAAAAGATTAAAAAGACAAAATACTGCGACAAGATAACCAATAAAATATTAAATTTATCAAACTAGCGGCAAAAAGTTGTGTTTTGCATATTTGTCAAAAAGTGCATAGTGCACTTCCGAATGTATGCTCTCTTTATAAAACGTGTATGAATTAACCATTAAGTAATATTGGGCTAAATAAAAAGTCCCCGCAATTTCTTGGTTCATTTTTGAACAAAAATTTTCTTACTGAAAATCAGTTTTAACCAAGTACATATTGACCATTATTATCTATGACCTTTTGCCATTTTTCGGCTAGCTTCATAATTCCATCGGTGTAGAACTTATGTGGTTTATCGTCGAAAAACTTGTCCAAGTGATTTTCAGCGGCGCTTCGGTCGGCCAATTTTTTACCATCAAGAGAGTTTTCCAGAGATAGAAACAAATGGTAGTCAGACGGTGTAAGGTCCGAGCTATACGGTGGATGCATCAAAACTTTCCAATCAAGTTTCGCCAATTTGTTTCGAGTGATCAAAGATGTATGTGGCTGCGCATTGTCATGGTGAAACGCAACTTCCTTTCTGTTGGCTAATTTTGGTCGCTCTTTCTGGATTGCTTTGTTCAAACGGTCGGTCGAATTGTGCACAGTACAGGGCCAAAATGAGGGTTTCGCCAGGTTGCAGCAACTCATAATGGACACCCAAACACTGAGCCCGAATGTGGCACCCAAATATCGAGCTTCTTTTTGTAGCCTGCTCTTTTCAGATGATCCCAGACTGTCATGTGGTTTTTGTTAGTGCCTCCGCTATTACCTGAGAGCTTGCGTGCCTATCTTGCACCACCAGTTGCAAAATTTCATCGACTTTTACAGTGACTGGCTGACCAGAGCTAGATGCATTTTGACATTGAAATTTCCGCAACGGAATCGAGCAAAAGACTCCTCGGTCACTCACTCACTCACAGCATTCTCTTTTCACCGTACACTTCACAAAATTTTCGGCATGTTTTTGCAGCATTTTTATATTTTTTATAGTAAAAAAGTATCAGATATCGTATTTCTTCAGATTTTTCGCTCATTTTCAAATTAATATAACTTTTTAGACTAGCAACGAATTAGAAAACTATCTTTACAAACAATAGAAGCTGAATGTCACTTTTTAAGAATATATTCGTTTGAGATAATCGGATGAGTGTTGCCGGATTTATAGACATGATCACCATTTACCGCGGTAAAAAACCGCGAAGACTTTTTATACGACCCAACATGCTTATTATAAACACATGCTTTATTAGGGCCAGGGGCGTAACTAGAGGGGGGCAAGGGGCATCTGTCCCCTGGTGCAAAATCCAAGGGGCGCCAAACTGATGTTACGACATTTTAGAATTAAATGTTTTCCATCCTTGGCAAGCAGTAGGGGGCGCGAAATCTTCAGTTGTCCCTGGGCGCTGAAAACCCTAGCTACGACTCTGATTAGGGCATCAAAAAAAAGGGGGCACCAAAAAATTTCCATTGCCGGTTTTACCATGAAATGCATATTGCAGCTAAACCAAAACCGACAGAGTGGAGGAAGGTAAAAAATGGCGTAAACGTATGTGGGGTTAACTAAAATCTTTCAAGCGCTTAGCGCCTCTAAATGTCTTAATTTGGCCCTGCTTATAATAAGCAAATAAAATATTTCTTTAAAGTTTTTACGTATGCTTGTGTCCTAAACTGAAGAATCTGAATTAGTTTTAGATTTTTACTACAATTATGTAGTTTTCATAGCTATTGATGTATTTATTTTATATCTTTAATGGGTTATCTGAATAAAAAAGTGTATGGCACAATGGGAGCAATTTAAATTGAAAAGCCAGTGCTCAGGAAACATTAACAAATTTTGGCAAGTATATTACAAAAAATCGTTTATTAATTTTTCTAGACAATATTATTTCTCCGTTAGTAAATTAATAGTTTAGAGAGCAAGATTTCGCTAATAAAAGGAAATTATGAACTGAATACTGAAGGAAATACTGTGTAGTGGTGCCATCTATGGACCAATTGTTAAACAAATTGTTATATTAATAAGAAAAAAATCAAATAATTTGTTAAATACGAAAATACTTTGCTTTTTGTGTTAAATATCAAGAAAATATTTCAAATTAATTATAAATTCTCATAAAATGAAAATAACACGCGATATATGACAAGGGTTTCAAAAGCTAAATAACACTCTATATACATTCGAAGGAATGTTGAGATTCAGCGAAAGTTCGAAAGTGCTGAAAATATGCGGTTTTTCTCTACAAAACTTTAAAAAATTACAACAGTGGCTTATTGTAAATTATCAGATACCTATTTATCTCTAAAAACATGAAATGTAAGATGTTCAAAATAACTGATACTAAAATTTAAAACCAGAATATGTAATTAGAATATGTCTGTAGTGGCGCCATCTATACACCTTTACTTAAACAAATACTATGAAATAGCTGTCAAAAGTCTTTAATAATATACGTTCACATATTAAACGCACAAGATGCGATGTCACTTAACAATGGTTTAGTAATGTTGGTTTTAAAAGCTATGAATCTTTTAAACTGATTTTAATTTTTTTTTTCAGATATCAGGACAACGTAGACAGAAATATGTTCCTGCTCAAGTTCACTGATGAAAATGACAAACCTTTGGGAATGATCAAGTAAGACGTAATAAAACTCGCATCATAATATATATTATCAGATATTTTCTTTATTTTTAATCTACCCATAAATTTCAAGCAAAACTAATCTATTAATTTATTTAAACTATTCGCTGGAGTTTTTTATTTACACAAATATTATTTTTTCTCGCTTTCTGCTCATATTTTTTGTTTTCATTCACAAATACAAAATAATAATAAAAATTCAAAATAAAGATTAAAAATAAAAGTTAAAAAAAAAATTTTGAAAGGTTTCAGATTGTAAAGGATCGCTCAAAAGAATCTTTAAGTTTTTCTCCGCTTTCACTAAACTCGCACTGTACCAGCTGGCTGTTGCACTCACTCCTGTTAAAATTTTTTTTTTTTTTTTTTTTTTTTTTTTTTTTGTCTTTTTATTAGCCTTCTATTCGGACTAGCGATCAATTCGAATGTTACAGCAAAACGTTCTAAAGTGTCTAAGGCATGTAAAACTTTCTCACGGATGGACAGAATCACACTGGCCTCCTCCCCTTCTTTTGATGACAACACAAATAATTATTTCACTGGAGCATAAGCGATTATATCGTCGCTGCACTACCAAACTCCTTAAAACTAATAGCAGAGTTTGCAACATCTTGATTAAAAATTGTTCAAGATTTAACATTAGCCGCTCTAGCTTTTAAAAGTAGAAAAGCACATCTAAACACAGAATTTTTTTAATTGAAACTCGTTGTTGAAGCGAGGATCGCGATTGTCGAGCAGTATTACTCATGCTCGCTGTGTTATAAACAATACAGTGTATTCCGTGAGGTTTTCAATTAAATGTGACAGAATATTTCTGAACGCAGCCCGAGGAGAGAAACAACAGGAAAAAATATTTAAAAAATAATCTGAAAACTATCAGATTTTATATTACGCCCAAAAGGGCTTTTTTTTATTTACACATAGACAATTCGAGACCATTTGTGATAACTCTGCTTTGAGCTAAAACACTTGAAAACGGCATATCTTTAGAATTTCCGATAGACAGTCTCGTGCATTGGAGATAAAAATATTTTATTTCGCACAATATTGCCACTGTTCGCTTCGAAATGGTTGAGTTTCTTAATCAAAAATTCGTTAAAGTTTTACGAAATATTAAATAGATAATAAAAAAAATTCGAAATTCAAAATTCAATTTTCAAGGTGCCCATATTCGGGTGGTGAACTGTGTTTGATTGCTTTACGTGCCAATGTTTTTTTCACAGTACAAGAAACCTACATATATTCATGTGAATTCTTTATTATTTAATTTCTTTAAATATAATACACGGAGATTATATTTGGTGGCAACGATTTGAAAAGTGATTCAACGCTTTTAGTGATTCAACGCTTTTAGTGATTCCACATAAAATGTCGTTTCGAGACTAATAGAACTTCTGAGCTAATAACTGTGAAAGTTCGTGTTTGAATGCAAAAATCTTATGAAGCAACGACTAAAACGTAATTCGTAATTCGTGATAACCGGAATTCGCGTTAATCGATTAAACTTACTATGAGATCTTGTACATCGGTGCTGAGACCGAAATTTTGTTCATGTTAACCGAGTGTTTGCCTGGAGCAACTTCGGATTAAGAGGGACTTACTGCAATAAAATTTTTAAAAATTGTCATATGTTTTAAAATTTATTGTAAAATAAAGAATTTAACTTTTTTTTTAATCAAATGAATCAAAAAATTAACACTAAAATCTTTCTACTAGCAGTAATAAGACTTGATTAACCGTGTTTCACCTGAAAATGTGCAATAATTTTGCATTTTACTGCAGATTATCTAACTTACAGGCTTGCATATTGTAGATGGATAAGAAGGAAATAGCACTTTATTTAAAATACACAACAGCTCAAACAGAAAGGTCTGTCTGTTGTGTCTGTGTGTATGTAAACTTGACTTATAAATATCTCAAGGCGGAAAAACAGAGGTATAACAAATTTTTCTTCAGCCGCCAAAAATATCGCAGATCACCAAAATCACTGACTAAAGCATTAAGCACAACGCAGAAGCCCAAATACAGTCGCGTGGTTGTGAGCTTAATAGTTTAATTGACTGGTTCCAGTGTGTCCGACATTTCTAGAGTTATCCAAGCAAAGTTTCTTCCTTGTATCTCCATTTTAAGTGAGCTATCTCTACAATTTAGACATCGATCCATTCAAAACTAGGTCTAAAACATGATAAACGCAATACACATTTAGAAACTCCATAAGTGTCCCCAAATTTGATTACAAATGCATGATAAAATTAGAATCTAAAATATATTAAATAAAGAAAAAAATAATGCATAATACCACAACAATACAAAGATCTCTGATATTGACATCACATGACTTACTAGAGCAGTCTATTATTTAAACTTATTTCCTAGAATTATTCTAAATAGAATAACAAATCCCTCAAAGCAAATTGAAAATGACATAACAATTTTTCAAATTCTGAAAATAATATCCTGGTCAATTTTTGTTGTATGGGAGTCAAACTTCTTTAAATTTTATTTTTTCAAAACGAGTAAAAAACTTTCTCAAATATAAAAATAAAAACCTGGAGCCGGCATTGAAAGCTATATTTCGTTATTAGTCGAAAACTTATATATTTTTTTTATTTGACATTGGGAAAACATGAATATTTTCGTCATTCAAAACATTTTTGTAACTGAAAGTATATGACTACGACCGAAAAATTACGAACATTAACACCGGATAAGGCCTTTTAGCCTGTTAAAAGGATGTATATCGCTCTCTCTATATATATATACATATATATATTTATACCCAGACGGTATTATGGTGGTTAGGGACGGTATTACTGCGGTAACGAAAGCCCCGGTTTCGAAGCTCGGAGAAGGCATGGATGTTTGTAAATATGTAGTGTCTGTGCGGCATGGAGGCACCCTAAGTAATTGATGAGCCGAAAGTCCTCTCGAGTGATTTGATGGTAGGCGAAGAGAGCTGGGATACCCTTGGATCCGTTCCCTGTGATGCTTTCCTTCAGATTTGGGAAAAATTGCGGAAGAAACTGGGCAAATTGATGCGGTCACCTACATGGTGGTCAAGGTTCATGCCAACTACAAGACGCAATCTTGCGCTCATTGCCACGATAAAATTCGTCCTCTTGTTTTGATTATATGAGATAAGAGAGATTAGTCCTAGCAAAGATACTACTTAAAAAACAGGACTTTTAATTTGACGAGAAGATCAAAGGAAACTTGGTCAGGATAACTCAAATTTACATTTTTCCAGTACGGTTGAAGATTGTAGCGTACGTACCGCAGCTGCATTATAATCTATATGACCTTTATCCTGATGTTACTGCCATAAGTGAGATAAGTGTCACAACAACACAACACAATATATATATATATATATATATATATATATATAATCGAAATAGAAATTGAAAAGCTGACAAGTAATGTGAAGTAAGACCTATTTGGTCTTAAAAATTTTTGCGCAAAATGCTGCAAAAAATATGAAAATATACGTTTGGTACTACCAATTGCAACAAAAAACAGGGTGCTCAAGATGTTAGAGAATTCCCATATAAAAATTTCAACGTTCTACGGCTAATGAATTTTGAGCTAGCTATGCGAGATATATATATGCATATACGTACGTACGTATGTACAGAAAAAATTGCATTTTAAACCCATTTTACAATCCGTTTTGGAAAAAAGAGACCTTTATTCTATGCGTTCGTACAAATGTCACGCTAAAAGTCGTCCAATTGGATTCTGGGACGGTCAAGATGGATATTTCCGTTGAAATAGGATACTCGAAATTTTTCGCGATTGCAATACTTCCTTTACTTCGTACAAGGAAGGGGAAAAAAAAAAACTAAGTTACAAGCACGTAAAAGAAAAATATGTACAGATTTTTATAGTAATATTTGTAGCTTAACTAGATTGTTTTATTTATTTATTTTTTTTTTTCTTTTGCATATGCAGCTGGTTTGCTGTCCATCCAACGAGTATGAACAGCTCGAACTATTTGATTAGTGGGGACAACAAAGGAGCTGCCTCTCTCATGTTCGAAGAAGCTTTGAATGGTTACAGTGCACTACCAGGAAAAGTAATAAAAATATTTATTTCCTTCGTGTACCAATTGTACGTTTTTTATTGGTTTTTATTATTACAATTCGTCTGTTGTAAGGTAGAGAAATATATCAATCTTAAATCTAAGACCAGGCAAAAATAAACTGTAGGTTAAAACTGGTTTTAGGAAACTTCAGAAATTTCGAGAAAGGGAGAGCCAGGTCTTTCTTCCTCAAACACTTGCTCTTGTCAAATTTTTAAATCCTCAAATACTAATTTCTTTAATTTTTGTACTTTTCAGTAGATGAAGTTATAGTAATTGCTTTCTTCATTATTATGCTTTTTTGTTTTCCTCTTATTTATTTAAATAATGTGTTTTAAATAAAACTGAGGGTTATTTTCTTATATATTTTACTTCTTATAATATTTTTGTACTTCACATTTTAGAAATTATGATCAATGTAGTAAATTGTTAATATATATGCTTGATCATAACTCAGCTAATACAAATGTATGTGTTCATGAAACTTCACTCATGAAAACAATAATTTAAAACATATTGAAAAACTTTATATTTGATACTTGTAATACTATGCAACAATAACGACAAATTAAATAAAAATCTCAAAGCTTTCAGATTTTATATCATGCCCAAAGCGGTGGTTTTTTAACGTTTTGTGTGTGACCTTTATTTATTAAATATCATGTTTTTCGCACTTAAACCATAAAATTCAGTTCAACAGCAATATCGCAAAATAATTTTAAAATGAGCATATCTTTAGAATTTCCGATACACGGTTTCTTTGAAATAGTTGTGTTTGTTAATCAAAAATTCGTTAAAGCTTTACAGAATGTGAAATAGATAATAAAACAAGTTCCAAATTCCAAATTGGAGCTTCCAGATGCCCCATTCGAGTATAGAACTCCGTTATTTACAATTCAATGTCTCTAGCTACCGTTGTTTTTTTACAGTGCAAGAAACATATCTACATTCATGCAGATTCTTCATTGTTTAAATTCTGTAAACATAATGCAGGGCCCTAATATTTAGTGGCAACAATTTGAAAAGTGAAATGCGCTATAGTGAATCAACGCAAAATGCCAAAACGAAATGAATAGCCCTTCTGGGTAAATTGCCGGTTTGGGCTAAAAGTAATTGATATTGGTAATCTGAAAATCCTACATTAAAATTCTAAAGGGGTTCGCTACTAAAGAAGTAAAAGCAATATCCATTGCTTTACTAATTCAGAAGTCAAACAACAAAAATCAGCGTTATATTTACAAAATTTTCACAGGACTAGTTTCGATGGTTTTACCGAACCACCATCCTCAGCTGCAAAACCGCAAATGAATCTTTGGATTCATGGATGGTGGTTCGGTAAAACCATCGAAACTAGTCCTGTGAAAATTTTGTAAATATAACGCTGATTTTTGTTGTTTGACTTCTGAATTAGTATTTATTCGGCGCGTTATTGTGTCTTAATCCATTGCTATAGCTAACAAAACTAAACCTTAATTGTATAGAGTTCCTTACTTTTATTCTGTTAAACTAAGTGTCGTGGAACCTACGGAACTGTTAAGCGAACAATCTCTCAAGTCCAAGAACAGAAATGTAAACTCAAGAAGGGTTAATTACCCTTTATTGCTCAAAATAAGATTAACAGTGGGCAGCTTTCTCAGAGCATACACTTGGGCTTAAACTCAAAATGCAAGAAATAAGAACTAACTAATGATTGACTAAAGAAATTTAGCCGAAGCTAACACAATTCTAAACTAGTTACGCAAAATAATGACACTAGTTACACTAGTTACGCAAAATAATGACACTAGTTACACTAGTTACGCAAAATAATGACACTAGTTACACTAGTTGCGCAATGATGCTAGTAAGTACAGAAAAACTATTTTTTTAATAATTCATTTTTTTTCGCACTGATGAACAAGAACCATCTTACTGGCAAAAACTTCTTTTCTTATGCAATTATGTACAGAACAACTTAGATGCAATTATGTACATGTTACGTTTCAATGCAATTATGTTTCTAATGGAATTTAAATGCAATTATGTACAATTTAAATGCAGTTATGTACAATAATTCACCAAACCCGTTCCCAGAATTCTAAATAGTTGTAATAAATAGTTGCATTTAAATTCAAAACTTTTATTGGTTTCATGTCTGGAAATTTTGCTCTAAAACGTTTTTTCAGCAACCATCAAATGCAGTCGATCTTTCCTATAACGAGCGAGAAGAGACGATATATTTGCACGTTATAACTGAGTGCTCGTAAAAAAGGGTTCATGAAAAAAATCATAAAAATTCATACACATTTACTGTATTATAAATACTTAAATTATTTTTTATTTTTGTACAGTACAAAAGAAGTTGATTAATTTGTTTTGAACTGCCTTATAGTCTCTTTCTTGTGTTATTTTTCTTCGAAGAAGACTCATGTCCCGAAAAGTACCGTCATTAACATTCTTGGCTTCGGAAAAAGTTTGAAGATTTCCCTCGCACCCAAAAGTCATTGAGTATGTTGAGGACGTTCAGCTTGAAATTCTTTACATTCGTCGTTATCATCGCTGCTTTCATTGTTTAATCTGCTTTAACTTGAATTTCAGCTATAATATCCTCAGGAGTAGGTATCTCGGAAGTGATAACATTGGCGTTAAAAGATGCATAGTTTTCAAAATTCTTCTCTACTCATTTCCAAATTTTCCAAGACGCCTACTGCTTCTTGTTGCTCCTCATTCACTCGACCCTCTTAAAAAACTATTGCTTGCTATATTTAACATTGTATCTACGAAGTAGTTTTGATTTCCTCGTTAAATCTTGGTTCTCATTAAATCAAGCTCGTTATAAGCGAGTTGTACTGTATATTTACAGGCATAGTCGCATCTGTCATTTTGTTACAATAGATGTTGTTTATTACAGGGTCCTTTCGTAGCTGCGTTTGCTCAATCCAATGCAGGAGATGTATCGCCAAATACACTGGGTGCCCGCTGCCCCAGTGATCCAGCGGAAAAGTGTGACATTGAAACCAGCACTTGCCGAGGAGGGGTAAGTTCTCCGATATTACTATAGTATAATGAGAACTTAATTATGCACATGCGAAAAAAATATTCCAAGTACACGTTTTCATATTATTGTTCACAAATATGGTTAATTTATTGATATCTTGTTGATAAAATTCCTTTCATTGTTTAATTCATTACAATAATTATATAAAAACACTTTTTCTTTAAAATCAATTTACTATCTAAACGCTTCTGGATCACACTTCTTGTAAAACGTCTTCATTTTAAATTTCGGAAAGCTGAAATTAGAGAACCATTCAAGAAATTCTTTCATGCAATTTATTTTAAAAATACGGCCCTCAGAGAAATTCATTATAAGCGTGTTACTATTTTTAATAGAAGGGGAAAATAAACAAATTTATAAAGAGTGAGTTGCTATTATATAATAAAATTATAATTTTATCTCAGGCATAGTGATCTAGGTATGTAGATATATATACATAGATATATTGATACAAATATTGAAATTTGCATATGATTATTGCTTACGAGTTTCAGTATTTTTAGAAAGAAAGATGTGTAGCTGTAGGACCTGGAAAAGATATGTTCGAGAGTACGTGGATCATAGGAGAACGTCAATATAAAACAGCGATGGTAAGTAACATATATTTAATCAAATCATATATTAATGTAGTTAATGAATAACTGTGAATTTATAACTAGTTGTGAAATTTGTAAATTTAAATACTGCAAATAATTTATTTTTCAATTGAAAATTTTTTTATAAAAAGTACTTGTAATGATTATAGTGATTCTGAAACTAAACAATGACAACAATTGCATGCGTTCTGATAAATACTTTGGAGTTTCATAAAACGAAAACATTGTAAGCAAATGTCCCGCGCGTAATATGCGCGGGTTGAGAGTCTCGCATAACAAAAACCTGTCTCATATCGCAGATCCAAGAGAATTGCAGTTTCATTGCGCATTATTGATACGTTCGAAGTTGAATTTGCTTTACTTTCCGCTTAGACGACACATAACTGCAGAAATGCGTGTGTTCATAAAGGCAATGAATAGATGAGCAAGCGAGAAACATTTTTTTAAAACATTATATTGCCACTAAATGATTTCGTTTCCTACTTGAGAAGAAACATAAAAGCGCCCAGATGGGAGTTTCATCTGGTGGGGAGGAAGAGAATATAAGAACATATCTATGCTCTTTTTTAACGAGAAACCAGCAATACGAGGAAGCCAGAGTCTGAGCAGGAAGTTAAGTTTTTTTCCGGTAAGGAAGAGGAGATTGTAAAAGTTTAATGCGTATTCCAATCATCAAAAAGCCTTCTAAAATAGTGAGAAGAGGTACAGGTCTCGGCCAAAGAGAGGCATCTCAATCAACATGAGATCAATATTTGCCAGTGCTGTTCAGTGACAATGCCATATATTACTTAAGAGCAGTCCTGAAGAAATGCAAGAACTTGTTATTAACCGTACAAAACTTAGACCTCCCTAAAAAAACTTGCAAGAAATACAAGGGCAACTTAGGTGCTCATCTCCAAATGGAAGAACAAGAAGATTCATATGAACATAAACTACAAAACCGCCAGATTGTTTACAAACATAGTACAAGTAAATAATTTTCAGTATTAATAAACTATTAAGTCCCTACAAGTTCCAACATTGTATTGATCTTATTACGTTTTCATGTTTAGGATTGAAAGAGAATAGATTAAAATTATTTCCTTATTAACCTGTCTGAAAGAGCTTTCCACACAATGAACGATACGCATAACGAAAGCCATTTTACCACAAGTCAGCGTTCGTTATGTGAAGTACCACTGTATTTTTACAGGATTAAATCAACTAATAAGAGTATTAAACTTTAATTGCTCAGTATTAAATTATTATTCAATGCTAATTTTATAGGTATTAGGTAGCATCTTTTTATGAAAACGAAATAGGTAAACATAGGTTTGTTGCCATAAAAATCATTTTTAATACTTCAAACTCTCTTCATCATGAATAACGCAGAATCCTTGTGAATGCTATCATTCACTTGTCACAAGTTTAGTCTTGCATCACAACAATTGCATGCGTGTGTTTTCTTTATTTACTAAATGTTGTACAAGTTTTCTTGCAAAGGCCTCCTCAATGTCAAATGAAAATAATCAACATAACAGAAACACAACATATATTTTCATTATACGAAAGGAAGTTCGATATGCTATTTGTGTTCTTCAGTGAAGCATTGGTTCAGTTATAGGATGTAACGGTAAAAGAAACTAATTGGAATTTTTCACTTCAAAAGCGATCATGCAAATTCTCATAGATTTGTTTTTTACACAGCTCCTTTTAATACGTTGACAGCCGACACATGTAAGGACCAGTTCGATCAGAGTGATTAGGAGGGTGCAGAAATTTATATCCCATATTAGATCTGCAGAAAAGATGTTCCACCAGTGGTCCATGATGCCACAAACCATAAATGTTGCTGTGACCCACTAGTCTCATGAAGCCCCGAAAAAAAAATTATCGTGCTTCAACGGTGGGTCAGGTGGCAGCTGATCATCATGCTTCGCAATTTGTGATTACTCTGCCGTAGAACATCTAAAATAGGATATCCTTAAACTGATGCAATAATCCTCAACACTATTTTGGAGGAAATTACGGCTGTAAGAAATCTTAGAGATAAGTTAGCCGAATTTCAGGGTTAGGTCTTAAGAGTGTGCTAGCATTCGATATTATTAGTTTTAATGCACAGCCATATACTTCTGTTATAATAATAATAATAATATATTATGATCTCATTCTGGCCATTCTGATCGCTTTGCGTATGTGATAACATATTGTTCTAAAATAAAAATGGCTTGAACAATTGAGCTGGCAAATGTTAGCTCCTGTTTGTGCAATGGAAAGGTATATTATATTTCTATTGTCTTTGTTATTTCATTTCACAATGGGTAGTTTTTCCGACTAGGCTGCTTTTTTCGTAATAGGTATTTTGAAATAGAAGAAGGTACTTATAAAGTTTTGTGCAATAATCATTTCATCAAAGTTCGTGAAGAAAAATAACTGTATAAAACCGTACTTCTAACTTAAAAATTCTTGCATGAATCTGGCTAAGCCTAATAACAGCTTAGTTTATGGTACAAACAAAGGTACCATTATTCACGACTAATAACAGAATAATACTTTTCAAACTAAATTTAAGAATTCGCAACCAAGATTTTATTTTGCTGCTACCTGTGTGTTTTACAACTTAAAATAAATTACAGCATAAAAATGAAGTCCTGCTGGCTGGGAACAAATTCAAACAGCTGGCATGAAGTATAATTGCATTTTTATAGCCTAACCAAAGAGATATTCGGAAATAATTTAGCTCTAACTGCAGAAATTCCAAATTCGAATTCAATAGCTATTAACTTCAGGTCAACAGCACTACGACAAGGAAACATTCCAGCAGTGAAACATTATTCTTTGACGTAGGTAACAATTTTTATTAATCATAAATTGAATAAAACCTAGTTAACTAAAAACTTGCTTTGAATTTCTAGATTGAATTATTTAGTGCTGCGGAAGATGAGAAGAAAACCTTGAGACCAAGAAAGAAAAAAAAAAACAAAAGAAATGGAAAAAAAAAACATAAGAATTAAAAATTAGCTTATAGCAAATTAAAAGAATTATCATTTAGTAAATATATAAAAATTGTGATAAAATAGATTATGTCATTGATAGAAATAAAATATTTCTAGGAATTGTTCAAATCGGCATCGAAACGATTGAGTGGACCTGTTTTGTACATTCATCAATTTATCGATATGTCCAATGTAGATCTCTCTACTAACGAAACTGAAAGAGTAAGTAAAATTACTTTCATTACCGATCTTCTCACTAAATTATTGTGTATTCTCACTAAATTGTAATTTAGAACTGATTGAAATAAATATACTTCAGCAAGCATAAATTTGTATTAAAATTGCGATACTTGTTTATTATTATTTAATGAAATAACAGCAATATATCATTTATACAATTTGATTAAATTATTTATTTTATAAACACTTTCTTGTGAGGGAGTTGGTGTTCTCTTTTCTAAAAAAGCAAGCTAACTGGAAAATAAAATTTTATCTTTTAAAAACTCTAAAATGTTTGTAATAACAAAATTAGAATATAATATATATAAGCCAATATAATATTATATATATATATATATAAATGACTAAAAAAATCTGAAAGGTTTCAGATTTTACATTACACCTGAAGGGGCGTTTTTTTTACGGTTTGTGTGTTACCTTTATTTATTAATTATCATGTTCTTTGCATTTAAACCATAAAATTCAGTTCAACAGCAATATCGCAAAAAAATTTTTAAATGAGCATATCTTTAGAATTTTCCGTACACAGTTTCGCGCGTTGAAGATAGAATTTTTTTTTTTTCGTACAGTGTTGCCATTGCTCGCTTTGAAATAGTTGAGTTTGTTAATCAAAAATTCGTTAAAGTTTTACAAAATATGAAATCGATAATAAAACCAATTCCAAATTCTAAATTTGGGATTCCAGATGCTCATATTCGGGTGGAAATATACGTTATTCAAAATTTGATGGCTCTAGGTACCGTCGTTATATCACAATGCGAGAAACATACATACATTTAGGAAGATTCTTCATTATTTAATTTCTTTGAATATAATACAGGGCTGTAATATTTGGTGGCGACAGTTTGAAAAGTGAACCTCATTTAAAGTTTTCAGCGCAAAATGCCAAAACGAAATTAATAACCTTTCTAGGCTAAATTTTTTAAAAATTAAATATAGTTCTAACAGAAAAGAAATGACATCAGAATGATTCGTGAAGCAAGAATAAATATCGACTGCAGAATCCCTTGCAGTCAAAAATACATGATGGCAATTTTTTTAAAAGGAGGCAAAACAAGAAGGCACATTAAAAAGGACTTTTTCGCAATCGAAACATTACATCAATTTCAATCGAACATATAGAGAAATCGTTTATCGATTTAATGTTTTAAAATTAGCTTTCTGAGATGTGCTAAATTTCCTTCAGACTAAAACTTGATTTGAAAGTTCAGTGATGACAGTTGCTACCTCTTTACACTTTCCTTGACAAACGTTTTGCCATGGCTTCTTAAATTCTACAGGCAATAACTGAAATTCTACTTGAGCCATTTATAAGGCTTTAATTTTTATCGATATAGAATTTCTTAAATAGCAACATACTAAACTGACTAAACAAATAAATATGCAATCATTGTATGGGAATAAAAATAGAGCAAAATACGAATAAAGTATAAGCAAAGCTCAATGCAACAACGTGCAAAACAAATAAATAGAAATAATTAAATAAAAACACGGACGCAATAAACAGTCATGAAGGTTATATGAAATTAAATACGTAGAATTTCTAGAAACACGTAGGAATTACAGGAATACCTAGAAAGAGAGGTTTAAAAATTAAACAAAAAAGCCCCTTAGATTGGTGCAGATTTTGATTACACTCTTCGATTCCGAGGCTATTAGACATAGGTCTCTGAAGTAGAGGTGTCTCTATCTAATGACCTAAATAAAGTTAATATAATTTTTAGTATAGTGATCAGAAAATTAATAAAATTAATTTAAATATATAATTTATAACATATCACGGATAAAAAATATTAAATAAGGTATACTAATTTTTTTGTTTACTTCTAATTCACAGTTAGAATTTCTGTTTCGTATCAAAAATATATTAAGAAAAACTCCTCTAGCTCCTCTAAGTGTTGTCGAATTTAGAAATGGTTTCTGAGATAAAAAATAAAAATATATTGGGGATTGTTGTTGTATGGGGATATTGTTGAATAAAATCTCAAAATCAGTTTTTGGAAAAAATTTAGATACTCTTCACGCTACAAAACAACTGATAGTGAATTCTTAAAAATATGATAACAAATCTTTTACTATTTTCTGCGCAGAGGACTACCTGCAAACCAGCGATGGGTTACAGCTTTGCAGCTGGAACCATTGACTGCCCGGGAGAATTTGATTTTTTACAAGGTAACTATTATTCAGAACAAGTCTTGCTTCCTCTTTCTTAGTTAAAGTTTCACTTAAATTGCCATCTTCTTCTCGCAATCCCAAAAAAAAATTTTGTAAAAAGCATTGTTAATGCATGCATATGCATGCATGCATTAACAATGCTTTTTACAAATTTTCAAAAAAAAAAAAAAAAATCTGTGTCCTAAAATTAATTAAAGAAAAAAAATATATCTGAAATACACTTTAATAAAATGTTTAGGAAATACTTTTTTCCTATTCAAATATTAACATATTTTCTTTGAAATATAAATAGAAAATGTTTTTAAATAGAATTTATAAAGAAATTAATTCTCATACAGAATTTATTTAATATAGAAAGTTTATACTATCTATAGATATAGTTTATAGTTAACCTATAGTTATATTATATAGATATAGATATAGTTATGGGTTAAATATAACAATTCATGTAAAATTTAAATAAAATTCAAGACTTATAATAATAAATTTATATAAATTAATATTCATATAGAATTTATTTAATATAGAAATTTATATAACTTATATAATAACTGATTTATGTAAAATTGAAATAAAATGCAAGACTTATAAATTAATAAATTTATGCGTAAAGTTTATGCATATTTCATACAGAAATATTTATATGCATTTATATTATTAAGATTTTACCATGTATTTATTGGAAAATAAAACCCATTTTCTTTCTATGTTAATTAATAAAATTTGGTAAAGTCTTAACGGTTATTTTGATAAATAAATTCGCAGAGTGAGAGGAAGAAGTTTAGTTATCATATTATGTAGTATAATTATGCTATTTGAATAATAAATAAACCACACTGGTAATTACTGCATTACAGCATATCTACAGTTAATTTTCATTTTCATATATAATATTAATTTAGACCTGCATCCTGTATAATGGTATAAAAATAAGCTTAAAAAATAAGCAATAAACACTAAAAGGAAAGGTACGAATGTAAAAAGGGGAATTAAACATACAATTTACATATGAGGTTCATCGTAATAGGTAGGTAACCAAAATTAGCAAGTCAAAATTGAGGCAACCAAAATTAGCATAAAACGCAATAACGCAGTCACACAACAGCGCCTTAAAAGAAGACAAATCGGACCTATGCGTCATTTCGCAAGCAGCGATAGTAATACGAGATAGCCAAAGGGAAAAGCATGAGCCGAAGATACCATTTGCACGATGAAATGCGTTGACGTATTCTCGGGATGTTGCAAGCTGGTGCAAGACATTCCGGTGTTGCAAGATAGCTCAATGTGCATCGCAGTGTCATCAGCAGGCTGTGAAAGCGTTACCAAAGGGCTCAAAACACCTGCAGAAGACGTGGCTCTGGAAGCCAAAGAATTACCACAACAGCAGACAAGCGCCTCCTCTTGCTGTGTGAAAGACGCCGTAGATCACTAATAGCACGACAGCTGGCTTCACATCTTTCTGCTGCTGCAAGACGGCCTATATCCCGTCAAACTGAGAGTCGAGTCGACAGCATGAGGGTGGATTGTACGCCCGACAATCCTTTGTCCCCATCTCATGTCAGAGAGCGATTAAATTGGGCAAACATCGCAGCTGGATACCAGAGCAGTGGACCCATGTACTCTTTATGGATCAGCCTCAGTTTAAAATCTTGAACGATTCGCGGAGTTCAATGGCATGGCGAGAGCCAGGGACACTCTATCGGGCACCAAATATTGACGAACGGCCAAGCCAACCTCTGCGTAATTCGTGGTGGTTCCTTCACAGCCGTCCGATTTCGCGACGAAATTTTAAACTCCTTGTGTGCGTATTTTTATTGCAACAATAGGTACGGACGACATATTTATGTACGATAAAGACCGCCCGCATAGAGATCGAGTAATGCGGAGTTATCTGGAGAGTGAAATCATGCCACGTCTGCCATAGCCTGCTACATCACCGGACCAGAATTCCTTACAGCATGCGTAGAACATGTTGGACGACGGATAGCAGGTCGCAGTGTGCCGTCAGACACCCTCCGCGAGCTCCGGCATTTATTTCTACAGGAATGAGCGTTACTGCCGCAACAAGCAATAAACGACACTATTGCCAACTTGCCTCGCCGTTGTCAAACATGCATTTCAGCTAGAGGGTATCATACCCATTATTAGCATTGCACATTCTTCCGACCTATTTGATCCTTCGCAGTGTGATGGTCATAATACATGTGGTTTTGTATGTCTTTGTTTTATTGTGCTATGCCACACCAATCTCTTGGATCAATTTCACAATATATCCTTTTAATAATTTTTGTTTTGTTCCGTGTTTTGCCTTTGCTTACTTTTTGAACAGGAATGTATTTCTTTACGTGCCATCGCGAAATACTATTATGTCTAGTTAAGTTGCTTAGCTTTCATTTAAATCAAAATCAAATGAATTCTTATAATAATTTATCTTCTGGTCAAATATTTATTTCTTAAAGTTTATCCTAAAACGCAATGAGGGTGTTACATTGAGAGGGTCTTATTTTCGAATAAATACAATTTATAAAAATGCTTTTTATTGTAAAACTTTTATTAAAACATTTACTTACAATTTGTGCATTTTCATTGAAATTTTGTTCATTTGAATGAAAAATAAGCAAGCTGTACCAAAAGTTGCTCTGTTTCATACTCATGGAAGCATGGAAATAAGTGAACAAGAAAATAATGAAATTTTAGAAGGACTAGAAGCTCATGTGACCTCACTTAACAACTCTGTAGCCACAATAAGAACGCTCACAACAGCTTGATTTTAATAGTTCTGGAGTTCTGATCCAAGTTTAAAGCATTCCTTAATGCATATTTTTATATTAAAAAAGCTACTTTAAAAATACCAAACTAATAGAAAATGGCAACGTATCAAAAACAGGGAATAGTACACTAGTCTGTTGTAGATTATAAAATTAGCAAAGCAACAACCTTGTGTTTGTTGTATGTAGATTTTAGAGGCAATGAGCTGCACATCATTCTTTATCAGAAGCAAAGAAATCTGCAACGATAGGAAATCTATGGTTGTATTTATACCCAAAAGGAGTAAAGCGAACGAGAAGGTAACGCCATCTGTCGGCAGAAATGCAAATGAAAATTTAAAATTTAAGTTATTAGAATTTTAAAAGTGTTAGGAAGAACTGGATTGGAATTAAAGTCATTAACTAAAAACGATAAATGTTTGGGAATGTGAAAAGCTTCAAGAAAAACCAATTCACCAATATAAGAAGTTATTTCGATAATTTTTGCAGACCCAAAATCAAAATTATGAATAAGCTTCCAACTATGATTAGATATCGAATACTTTTTAATTTCACCTTTTCGGACATAAGATTCTTGTTCCTTGAAGTGAAACTTTAATGCTTAATTTGGCCGATATGTCTCTAACCACACTGACAAAATATGCTATAAATTCTCCAAGATTTAAAGTTAAAAATCTCTAAGAACCAACCCATGGATTTTACATATAGGCTAGGAAATGACTAGAAAACTGAACTTCTGGAAAATTCATGCAACGTTATAACTAACAGAAGGATGAAATGGAAACATTACAAAGTTATTAATGTTATTTCTGATAGCGAAATGTCTTCTTTGATGGCAATATGAAATTTTTTAAAGGCTTTATTAACCACACGAAAGAAAACACATGCTGTCCAGGAATTAAATCTTGAGAATATAGTGATATCTTCCTAATATTCCTAATATTATTCCTAACTTTATCTTCCTAATATCCTTATATTCGAAGTAGTCATTTACTGAACTAGTGATACGCTGTCAGGTAAATAACATTCATAAAATTACACTGGATATAAAAAACATCTTGTGTTCAACGTCTTTCGATCCATTCCAGCAGCTTAGAAGGATCAAGGAAAACATGGGAAGTGGAGTATCTCCATTTAACAGAGTACCAGCTTACATCATGAGTGATTTGCCACCATAACAATCCCATTTCTGACAGTAATTCTGTTTCTTTCTCTAACCACACATTAAAATGTCAAAGTATCATACTTTAAGTTGGATTTTGCTCATTAATGAAGGACGACTTTCTGACATTGGGTCCAGGTCTGATAGTGAGTTAACCAATTCATACTGCTGCTTCTGTGAGACAGTGATGACCACTGAGTTTTTTCTTAGAATCCTCTCATTTTTCCAAAACATTTTCTAAATGGCATATGTCGATATCGCTGCACCGAAGAAAGAGGATATCCCAGAGAGAATTATATGGTTGTTAACCCCCATACTACAATCAGCAATTAGATCCAAATAAAAGATGTTTCAACTTCTGATTTTTGCACCTTCTTCGTCCAAACGTATCAGCCATTTTTGCATTTTAATGGAACATTTTCCATAGAATGGAGACAACTTTTTTAAGAACTGTTTATCCATTTAGTTACTTTAGCTTAAAAAAATTTTTTATTTGTTTTTCATTTTAAGTGTCATCTTAATAGTGGTGTAGGAACATTTCTCTACAGACAGTGAAATTTAAACTTCATTTGTTGATCTCAGTTATTAACAATCATTTATACTGATCTCTTTACTTATAGATATACGGTTAAGTTTGCGTATTTGGAAAACTCGTTTGCACGAACTAATACAAACGTATTAATACAGCGTAATTCTTTATAAATTGCATTTTAGTATAAGCAATTCAAAATATGTAATTTAGTGAAAGATAATAGTTTCACTGCCACGATTTCAAAACATCCGCTATCAATGAAGCATGACTAGGTAAACAAAAAACATACACCATGCTTCAGTGAACAGCACATACCATCAAGTGGAGCAAACTTTAAGAAAAAGAGAAAGAGAGAAAAGAAAGAAAACTGTTATTTCGTCAATCTCCTTTTGCTGTTTCTGAATCTATTATGAATCTTAAGAACAAAAAAGTAAAACTTCCTGCATTAAGTGAAATGATAATAGCCATCTAAAAACAAAGCCTTCGTAAAACAATTCACAGCTTCCAAACGAACTGTCTATAAGCCATTTTTTTAAATAACAGTGACTTCCGTCACATGACTGAAAAAAAAAGTGAATCATAAATACGCATGCGCGCTAATTGCATTCCCTTAATTTTAGGAAGTAAAAAAAAATCTCTTCGATTGCCATATTACTCGTATCTTTAATTTGTGAATAACACGAACTACGCGCTTACAATTGGAATAGTAATGGTCAGTTTGTAATTTTGCTCAATCCTATTACTGTGTTTGCTAGCTTAATTCCTCCTTTTCTTCTAATTTTACTCCTTAAAAAAAGGCAAAAAATTATGCGTTGTATACCACTTCAGATATAAGGGGTAAATGAAGAATTTATGGAATAGAAAAGCGCATATGATGTAGACTTACTAATATTATTGTAAGAATATATTAGTTGCTGCAATACTTTCTTTCTGCATTTTACGCTGGTTACACTGTTCTTTCATGTCTACGTTTTACGCCGGTACCACTTCTTTGGACTATTGGTTATTGATTTCTTTCTAACTTATATAATCTAAATTTGTAGATTCATATTACTGAAAAATGTTTGTAATAATAAACTTTAAACCAGCCTGAATAAGTATACTGTACAGTGTATTTTCAATGTTTATAGTATTTTCTCGTAATTTGGACAAGAGGAATAAAGAAATTGGAGGACTTTCGACTCTTGCAGCTTCTTCAGCTTTCTGGAGGTGAACAAACTTCCATTCTCATGCAATACAGAGATGTATTACCCCATACTTACTAACGCCTCCTGGAATTTAATGAAAAAGAATGGTGTCTTTGTAATTTATGTCTAATTTCTCTTTTCTTAATTATTCCACCATACCACTGAATATCCTTAAGATATCCTGTCGTAACATCCCGGCGAGTATTGAGGATATCCCAGGGATCGTACGTTTTAGACACTCACAGAACTTTGTAATTTAATATCTTGTGTTGTTGTTGCTGCTGTAGTTATTGATCCTAACTGGTTAGCCATTAAGCAAGACCAGATCAATGAGTCCAAGAGACTTTTAGTATTTCTAGTACGAAGATAGGTCTTTTCAAAAAGCCGTCTTTTACAAATCCCAAACAGACATTTTTTTAATTTCTTGTGGAAGCCTTTATTTAAATTATTATATCCCAGGATATGCGAAGGTGTTGAATCACTGATGCCTTCAGTACTTCTTCGTTTAATACCCTACGGATATTCTGAATGCATTTTGCAAGGGTCATCCGCTGCCAAAGATTATTAAGATATTTATTGTCAATTCTTCTAGCAATGTATTTATTCGACGATGTCTTGAGGTTAATTGATATGCCGCATTAAGTACTGGAGAGAAACATGTTAAACTGATTTTCCGACGTATCTTAGGGAGGTGCTAGTAGAACTTGAAATCTTCTCAACATACCGTATACTTTTTTGGAAACTTAGGATATCCCGGGGTTATACTGGAATTTGACATTAAGCACTCAAAATAATATGTTTGTGAAATCGGAGGAGTATTTCGAGATGTCCTAAAGATGGCCGCTGAGCCTATAAATAATATCTTCAGGATATTCCGAATATTCTTTTGCCTCTGTTGGTCATGGGAAAGAATGGTGGATATTCATGGATAGCATTTTGAAGAAGTAAATGTATGGTGTTTAAGATATATGAAAAGTTATATAGCTTTCTCAGAAATTCCAGAATCTGTTCATTCTTGCGGAGGAGTCCATTTCCTGAGTTCAGGGGATAGAAGGAAAATAATACGAATGAATTGTTCCTAAATATATTTCTCTTTTCTCGCAACGATTACACTACAGAAAGTTAGTGTCTTATAGAAACTTGCTGAGGAAATTGAGGTAATTATTAAAACCTTGTAAGATTTTAATATCAATATTTACTTTGCTTATGTTCACGGACATTTTGGAAGTTTTAGGAACGAGTGAGCTGATAGTGTAGCTAAGCTAGTCAGAAACTTTCTTATTGATTTAAACCTCTATACAGTTTCTCACTGAATGCCTTTTTAAAGAAAAGATGCTACCTATATCTGGAGCAAAAAATATCTCGCTGAATAAAAAGCACAGTAAAATGGGTTTTCCTAAAATATTTTGTAAAATACAATTTGGCCAGTTTTCTTTAGACTTTAAACTATCACAAGTTTTGTCAAGAGACGGCAGTTTTAAGAGTTATTTAAAGCGATGTGAACTTAATTTTAAGTACTTTGTACTGTAACGGAGCGGCAGTGAAGATGTTAATCATATCCATCTTCAATGTCTTCAGTAAAAAGCGATTCTTCAGACGATTTTACGGAACTGTCTCATCTGGACCACCGATTTTTTTCTGAACTTTTACGAACTATAGAGACATTTTCACCTTTCAGAATTTCATTGTCAGTTTGGATTTTTGAGATATTTTAATTATTATTTAATATTATTTTCTTTCTTTTTTTCCTTTACAGTGTTATTCTACTTTCGTTTGTTTATTTTATTAGTGATATAACCTATTTGTATAAGCCTCGTGATACATTTTTGTGAAAAACGAAAAGATAAAGCGAGATAAAGCTAAGAAAAAAATAAAATTCTATTCTAAAAGTTCTAAGTGGAAATTTACGCATGGGGGAGAATTATACGTATAGTTACAGGATAAGACTAATATTCTTTATACTTAATGTAGCAATATAAAATAGTTCACTACCAGTATTTTGATAAATGTTTTATAGGTACAACGAAAGGCTCGACTTTATGGAACATAGTTGTTGATTTCATCCGCAGACCTTCTAAAGCCTTGAAACAGTGTCAATATCCCAAACCCATTTTACTAGCCACAGGCGAGGTAAGTTTTTGTGAAAGAAAAGCTTAGTTCTGAGTTCTAACAATACGCTTCTTCTCTTATTATTTCAGATTTTTTCATTTATAACTGAAATCCGTGCGTTCAAATGCAGTCCTTTCTCCCAGCTCAGGTTGATTTGTTTTGTAAACTAAACCTATAAGTAAACTTTCGTTTATTTTGTAACACATTTAGGTAGAGGAAGCACGAAAAATGTGGCTAATATTGATACATACACACTTCTAATTACAAAATTTAATGCATTTCACGAGCCATATATTCTTTCAAAATTCGCAGACATGTGCTTTATGAGTAGTTAGAGGGATCATCTATAAATTTCTACAGAATGTTTGTTTCAACTCAAGGCTAAATCCTTAATCATCAAACCGATAAAATCTTGTTTCGTGGCTATTGATTAAAATTAGTTTTAAATGTTTAGAATTAAGTAGCTGATAGGTATAGAAAAATGATGTAGTAACTAAATTTGTTCATGCATATTTCCACGAATTTTGCATAAAGGTATAGCATATTTTATTCTTAGAACACTAAAACATAGTAAACATTCTAATAAGCGAATCTGCTGTTCGAGGTGTGTAAAAAATTCGATTTTATTTGGAAGGTTCAGAGTACCAAGCGTAATTTCATTTTTAATGAAAAAGAAATTAAATATATGTATCGTAAAGTTAAGAAACAAATTATATGTAATCTAAATAACTAACTCTTAAATTTACAAATGTTATGCAAAGTGCTGTGTTTGAGCACAATCAGTATCTTTTTCTACCAGAGCAACAAGCAAAAAAAAATATTATTAATAAAATGCATATCATATTTACTCTTAATGAATCTCAAATGATGTGTTCCGCCTGAAGGCCACATTGTTAGTTGATGTTTTATAATAGCATTTCTGTCTACTTTAAGTTTAGACAGAAATAAGTAAGTCTGCTTTAAGTTAAGTCTGCTTTAATTAGTAAGTCTGCTTTAATTAGTAAGTCTGCTTTAAGTTTGCAAAACGTGCTGTCACGCCGGTGTAGCTTTGATCCAACATGCACGTTAAATATGTCTACGTGGCCTTTGGCTAACTTAAGACTTGGATTTAATTTTATTTCCCCACTTTCTGAGTTTACGCCACAAATTCTGGTTGGATTTGTAAGCACCAGGAGTGTCTGTCTTCTGTTCAACCATTTGATTTTTTAATTAAATGATCTTTGATACCCTTCTTACTTTTATGTTTGCATTATAGACATAGCGATAAGTATTGAATTTCCTATGTTATTTCTCCACGAAAGCTATTTCTATGAAGTTTAAAAGATATGAATAATTATTATCATATGTAGGTTTAAAAATAAATTTTCGATATTCTTATATTTTCCATTGCATTTTAAATAAACACGTCTTTCTCTCAAAACTCTCCGAGACAGAGCTATGCCGTTTTCCTTGTGTATACAGAACCTTCTAAATGACAATGTTAAAATCGGTCTCTTCGCTAATTACCCACCAAGGTCTATTTGATTAAGATTTTTGAAAACTAGTAGTATGACGTGCGCTCTAATCCTTGTTATTTTTATTCATGTAGCTGAAGAAGATAGATCTGTCTAACCTTTGAAACTACAATACTGCATATTCATACGTTTATTATTCTTTCATATGTTTCGTTGATTCTTTTGATAGCTATTATCTCTAACATGTATTTTCGAACATGTTACCAATCATTTATTTCATTCCAAACGAGCGAATACAGTGATTTTTTGTTAAATTTGGAACAGCTCCTTAGATATTCCTGGCTTCCTAGAGATAAAAGTACAGAAAAGAAATACTTCTTTTAGAGAAGCAAAACTTAAAATAGTATCCTGAAATTGCTAAAGAAAAGCTATCATATTTTTAAATGCAATATAAGCATGGCATTTACAAAATTTTAGGGTTAATTTTTCAAGCAAGTTCCAGCAAATCTCCCAAGCAATAAATGGTACCTATAACATACTTTCCCAATAAACGTATACCGTTATTATAATCTAATCTGTATCAGCCTTCTTACACGAGAGGAGTTGGAATATTATTTTTTTCAAGAAATGATAGTACGTGGCTGTGAATGATGCGTAGGAAAGATGTGCATCTATTTCTGAAAGCTCTTATTGTCTAGCAAGCCGCATTAGCAGTTGTTCTTCCAGGCCTGTACCTACGTTCATGAGAAGCATGTTGACGTTTTTAACACCCCAACAACAATATTGAACTTTATATTCTCATAGATTTTTAGTCTTTTTTCGAATTAACAATGATATAGCATAAGATATATTTTGATTGTAATCTGTGGTCAATGATTGTAAACGCTCAAACATTTTAAGGTACTTATTGCACTTGTGATTTATAAGCTTATCCGTGAACTTAAAATTTCCTTTCTGGATTCAGTAGACGCGAATATTTTTATTATAGTTCAACCGTCTCAAGCGCAACTCTGGTTGGCATTCTGCCAAAACACATAGACTCGTCCAAAAAGGGCGGTATTACTTGCTGCGACGTGAAAAGTCTTCTCCTCTCCGGAAAGACATATACTGGAGGGAAAGAAAGTCTTCATCCTTCCACCCTATTTTGAGAATCATTCGGTCCGAATGGCGCATGCGTGTTTGTGCTCATGGTCGCGCATGAGGCGGTCGAACTTTTTTTTTATACTGACATCTCTTAAAAAGGATTTGTATGTTCCGTATTTTTATGGTAAAGTTTATTTATTACTTTGAAATTATTAAGGCATTTTTAACGAAATTGTTTAAATACTATTCATTTTTTATTAATTGTTTCAATGTAAATCAAACTTTTTGAACGCGCTTATAAATGCTAGAATTAAGCTTCTGACAGAATATTTTTTTTTATTCAACAGATGTCTCTGCCGTACAAATGGCAGCCAGATATCGTTCCTACCCAAATCATCAAAATAGGTAACTTGGCTGTGCTGGGGGTCCCCGCAGAAGTGACGTAAGAGGAGTTTCGAATAAGCATATATCTCTTTTACTTTATTTCTATAAACTTTATCAGACTATCTCTGTTCCTGACTAAAACAGATATTCTTTCTTATAAACTATTAATAAATTCAGAAAAATATAAAATTGTATATTTATATTTCAGAACAATGGCTGGCCGTCGATTACGAAATGCTGTGAAAAAGGTAAATATTAAATAATAAATTTTCCAATATTAAAATTGTTTTTATTTCCAGCATAAATATCTTTCTTTCATAAAAACGACAGTAGGGCTAACATGAAATTAAATTTAAATTAAAAAGAAGGTTTAAGTTAGAAACTGCTCTATTTTGTTGTCTTGTGTTTTTCTTAGAATTTTTTCTTTATTTATTATGTTTCATTGAAACATAAAAGCAAGCTATGTTTTTTTAAAGAAGCAGAATAAAGCAATACTCTGAAACTACTCTAGAACGCTGTCATATTTTTACTATCCTCATAAAAATTTAACATACTCTGCGCGTTTGTAAAATTTTAGGACTAATTTTTCAAAATTAAGCAAACCTTTTAAGCAATAAGTGGCTTTTATTTAATATAATATTGACTATGACATCTCAACTTGCTTTGTTTTGATCCAATGAGCATTTGTCATCATGGATTCAAAACTGTGGAAAGAACAGTAATTTTTTCAGTAAAGCGGAATTAATCCTGATTATTTCAAACATATTATGACTGGAGAGGAAACTTCTTTCAATACTTATGATCCTGAGACAAAACAAAAAATATTTGCTTGAGTTGAAGGATGTTGGAAAGGGATAAGTTACCAGGACTTTGTTCCTGAGGAGAAGATGGTAAACTGCATATTTTATAAAGACATAATTGACCAATTTTTGAAGAAAGCTTAGCGCATTTGGCCTGAGAAAGAGTACATTCAAATAGCAGGTTTTTGTTGCATGAGAATGCTTTGTTGCACGACAATACTCTGTTGCACATTTTCATTCTCGCCAAGCAGTTTCTACCAAACAAAAATATCACAATTCTCAACAGCCTTCCTTATTCATTCACTAGATCTAGCATCTTCAGATAACATTCTGTTCCTTAAAGTGAAGTCAATTCTCAAAGGTTTTTATATTTAATTAAATGAATTAATTAAATGAGCTTCAGAAAATAATAACCACGTCCTTAAATAATGGTATTTCAAAACAGGATGTCTGGGAAGGAATGATGCAATTTTATGATAGTGTTGAGCGTTACATACATAGAACTACGAGGGTTGTAGAATGAGGGTTGAAAATTAATGATATTGCTTTTATTCGATTCTGAGCGTATTCCTAAAACTTTGTAGTTGCATTGCCTATATTAAAACTAAAAGTAAATACGTAGTTAGCAGAATCACTTGATCACTTGAGCCTTAACATAACATAATCCAATGCATATTGTTAAAAATAACATTGATGAAACTGGAATCAAGTCACCGCGACGTCATTAGTAACCAGTAACACAAACCGAATCATGAAAGGCGAAAACTCAATGCAGGCAGCAGTGTCGCGTACGTTTATTTACTGCAAACGTAGCCACTATCAAGCGGCAGGAAAGAGGGTGTCCACAAGGTTCTTGCGCCGGTCCGTTGCTCTGGATAATCACCTTTAACTCCATACTACAACATGAATGGCCTTTGCACACAGATATTATAGCATACGCCGACGATGTAGCCCTTCTGGTGTCTGGCCGCACAAGAGATGAACTGGAACGGAATATCACAGAAACCTGCTCGATATTCACGGACCTATGCAATAAACTTAAGTTAACCATCTCTCGGCAAAAGTCCGCAGCCATCGTAATTCCACGTCCTGGCACAAATCCCACAAGACGTCCATGTATAAAGCTACTGGGCAAGAACTTAAAAATAACGAAGACGATTAAATATCTAGGAGTCACTTGGGATCAAAGACTCACCTGGTTACCGCACCTCCAAGAAATACGTACAAAAACATCGACCATCGCAAGGAAAGCCAGGCAATTTCAAGGGAGAAATTAGGGACAAAACCCCCATATCAGGAAACTATTATATCTGACAGTGGCAGAGAGAATAATTCTCTACGCAGCAGTCATATGGGCACAACCAATGAGCAGCCGAAAGACCAAGCTACTGACCACAATTCAATGGCCGTTTGCATTAAACATCTGCAGAGGTTATCGCACAACAGCGTCCAGCGCCGCCACGATACTTGCAGGCCTGCTGCCATTACACATAAAGGCAGAGGCAGAGGCTACCTATGTACGAATCACTCATCACAGACAAGAAGCCACATATGCAGGAATTACGTTCAGAACAACAGACTATGAACTCCCTGGCAGTGTGCAACACATCCACCCTGCCATCAAAGGTAGAGGGATCCATGTCAAAATCCAACATCAGCCATCGCACTCCAGACAACGCACTTCCTGTGAGATTACACAACTGTTCACTGATGGATCAATACGTGATCAGGGAGTGGGCTGCGCGTTTGCTCACTACGAACATGGCACACTAGTAAAGGAATGGAAAGACATCCCACTAACAGCAATAGTATTTTCCAAGCAGAGGCACTAGCAATATTGAATGCGCTACGACATGCCCTCAACCTTTCCCTTACCAATGCGACTTTTTACACAGATAGCATGTCAGTGCTACACGCACTCAGGGATCATCACCACACTTCACCCATCATCATAGATATACAGCAACTTTTACGCAATAATCATCAAGCCCGCTTTAACATGGTATGGGTGAAAGGACACTCCGACAACGAAGGGAATGACGTCGCAGACCGACTGGCTAATGAGGCTGCCAACAACATCCACGCTCAAACTATAAGTGCCCCTACCCCCGTCTCACACCTCAAGAAAACTCTGCGTAACATCTGTAAAGAAAAGCGGCAAGAAGAATGGAATAGTGGCGACACAGGGAGAAGGACGTATAACTTCCTACCAAAGGTAGACACGGAACGTCTTATAACAATAGCCCCACTGACACAGTACATAACGGGTCATGGCCCATTTCCATCTTATTTTATGCGTCATGGCATCTCAGCATCTGACAATTGTGTGTGTGGCATGCTAGGTTCTCCCGAGCACTATCTATTTGACTGCAGTCTAACAACAAACCACCACTTACCACTCCATCCAACGAATGATAGAACACTTTACTATCGTTTCATAATCAAACACCCGCCAGCTATAAGGAGCATCTGCGCAGTTGTACAGCAAATCAACGCCCTAGGGCAAGACATTTGCGAGCCACAGTAGCATGGTACTGCAGACAATGTACTCAACTATTAGATACTCGCAGTATGTACACATTCTGTAATACACATTCCACATTCAATTTCGAGCCTCGTGTTAACATCTGCTTTCAATAGCCACCAACTTGCAGATATAATGTTACTGACATGTTTATCAGTGTAAAGCACTGGGCACCCAATGGAATGATGTGTAATCGTAAATCGAAATATATAATATCCGTACAATGCACGAATGTAGTGTATGCAACGAAATATGTAATTCATGTAACAGAAGCCCTAATGAAAGTATGTACATTATGTATTATGGGAACTGAGCATATTTCCGCACAGCACTACTGCTTTACGCACACCTTACTATGTCTTATATGTTTCCTCTGAGCGTAATATTTGCATTTATGTGCTTTACGTGTTTCCATATGTATTCTATGTGTCATGATATGTATTTTCGTGTGTGTGCTATGTCTTTATGTTACGTAATTACGAGTGTGTTTTATGCTTTTACGTTTAATTTTGTATATCTATGTGTTTCAGCTTATATGAGTGTTTTAGTGTTTTAATGCTATCCTTTATATTCTTTCTAAGTTACTTTGTGTTATTAACAACGTCCTATGTAAAAACTACCCGACATCTAGCCCCTGTATGGCCATGTAAACTCCTGGTGCAGCCTCACGGGGCTCCAGCGAGTTGCTTCTTCGAGATAGTGGAGGACGTGGGACATATGCCTGTTTACCTATGTTATACGTCAGGCGTCCCCGTCCTCCGTCGCCTGTCACCTGTCACCTGCAAACGTAGCCACGTCATACAGTTTGGTATTACAACGAGATAGGGCAGAATAAATCTGAATACATTTTGACAACAACAACATGAGTGAATAAAATTATATAAAATAGGAACTGAATGTATGCATACCATGTACGTTCATGTAATGTTCTCACATTTTCTCCAGAAATTTCAAAACAAATTGATAAGTGCGGTTATTAGACGAGTTATTCAAAATAGATAACATGTATTTATTCCCCATTTAAACTCCAGAATAGCTCTTTTAAAAGAGAAAATGTGTTTCTCTAAAGTGAGTAGAAACTACATGAAATCAGCAAGAGGTTTTATGTATTTTTAATGCATTATCTAAAAGAGATTTTTCTATGCCCGTTATCACAAAAGCACACGCACACTGCTTTTACTGCAACTATAACAGCAATTCTTGTTTTCTGATTAACATGTTCGGGAGAAATATGTTTCACATTTTTTTTTACCTAACGTTACCAAAATATGTTTTCCAGTAAATCATTTTAAAATCCATCTATTCCAACTGAGACTCCTGTTATTTTAAAATGCTTCCGAAATAATGTCCTGGAAAATACTTCCTCACACTGACAATGGCCATGATTTTATCCAGTTCGCAACAAGACTGCAGCTCATCTCCACTTTTCCTGAACTTGCACAATATTGCACGTTGTAATTTTACTCAATCCACAATAAAAGCTAATCCGCCCACACTTTTCCTAAACTCTCACTACGTACTGTAATTTTACCTATTCAACAACAAGGACTATCCATTCCTGAACTTGCACAATGCCCCATTTGTCGAAATGCTCCATGTGTTTCCAAATGTCGAGTTGTGACTCGGCAGTGAGTCATGAAAGAAAAACTTCGGGTCACAGGGATAAAGAAATTAACTAACATTACATATTATTTTAAAGAGAAACTATATTATAGTTTGTTAATAGATGACGCGGAGATTTTATCATTTAATACCTTCATAGGTGACACACGATACTGATACTTATCGCTTATTAATTTATTTCTTGCGTTAGTTATTATTTTAATATTATCTGCAGCGCCACCAAAACTTATTAGGTTTGACTAAAGTACGACAGCAGGCCCAACCAATGTTTTTGTATGAAAAGGTCGACAACGAAGCTAGATTACAGCGGGAAAAACATTGCTAGGGCCTTTGGTGGTGACAAAGCTTTATTAGCACTTTCATCGATTATTTGTTAGTCAAAGTTCGGATACTGCGTACATTTGTTGTACTTATTTGCTATTATTTATTATATATATTATATCAAATTTAATTATCAACAGATAAATGGCATCTAATTGTTAATGAATAAATGGCAAAAAAGGCTGTACTTATGAACAATCATAGGATGTCCAGACAGAAGCAGTTTTTGTTGATGACACTAACAATAAGCAATTAAGTGACGTTCAGTCAAGCATGAGTTAAGAGAATGGCACTAATAAACGGCCGCATAAATTTGGTTTCATGAAAGATGCTGATGGAAAACCATAGTGTGTTATTTGTTATACTGCCTCATCGTATGAGTCCATGACTCTTTTAAAGTTTGAGTTTTAAAGTAGAGTAGAGTTTAAACTTGAAGAGTAGTGTGTCGTTAGTAGAATCCCTTTGTACTCTCAGCTTTGCGAGATTACAGAGAATTACTTTCTTACTTACAGTTCGTTCATTTTTCAATGAGTCGATGGCGCTAGGGCAGTCCTTTTCTGTAATTTAACGAGAATTACGTAATCCTCGAAATTCTGTACGTTGTTTACAAAAAGACACATATTTCCTTTTGATCATTTTTACTTCGCAACAGAGAAAGAATTAACTAGTTAACCTTGGAAATTGTAGCCCTGCAAATTACTCGTACTAAGCCGATTATTGTTGCTGAATTTTAGTTGTTTAAACTTTCAGTTCTTCAGCGAGTTATTTTGTTTACATTTCTTATATGAAAACACATTCTTGAAATTTTCATTAGAAGTATAATTCTAATATAGAGAGTAACTTTAAAAGAATCATCTTGTTGAAACTGATTATAGAAAACAATGTATTTATATGAACTTAAGAGTCCTTAGAGTGTTTACACATTCTGAGAGAGTTTTGGGGTCAAATAATGTATGCTTAAAATGCAAAGAGTGTCTTCTTAAATGTTCGCTCTGATAGACGTTTTTTGGACAATAAGTGTGCATTTTGATTTCCATGACAGAAGGGCTTTTGATAAAATTTCCAGGATACTGATTTTTTTTTATCATCCACAATTTTCCAGTGTCCATCAACCGTCGCCACACCAGCTGAGTGGTAAAAAATCGCTGAACACTGGTAGTTCTGATCTGGGCTCGATACTGGGCGAATGGATGGGCTGCATGGGAGTTTTCGTGATTTTCCCTATGAGTAACGTGTATACGAGCCAGTTTACCTTAGAAAGTCCTCCACAAAAGCATCCCCCTTTAGACAGATAGCCCTAGTGTGTTTGCCGTAATCAACTAAACCAAACCAACCGTCAACTATTGTTTGCTCTTACAAAGAGTTCTTTGTAAGAGAGAGACCAAAGGTATAATAGTTCACAGGTGAAACGTTAGGGGACGTCGCAGGAATGCATGATATGTGCAACACCCGTATCAGTGCTCATTTTCTCAAGGAATGCAGTGAAACTTTTCGAAATATGCCTTATTACTTTGTCTTAATGAAGTTTCACTCTCTGCATGTCCTTAAATAAAGAAAAATTGAATGTTTTCTGTAAATATCGGACATAAAACTTTCTCTTGATGGTACGTTGAGTTCATTTTAATATATTTTACCACTCTTCTTTTTAACTTCCCATCGTAAGACAGTCTGCGACAAATATAAACCTCTTGCTGAATATGTATTGACGGAACCATGTTTGTACATTTTTTTCTTTTCTTTCTCGATAACAAATATACATTTTTGATTGCAGTCATTTGGGTAAACTCATAGTTCATCAAGAGACATAATGTATTTCTATATATCTCTTGCTAACTAGTTTTCATACAGGATTTTACAAATTAATCTGCACTGAACACATGTCTCGGCAAAAGCTCGTGAACATTATGTTACTTAGCTTTTCTAAGTTGTAAATCTTGATATATTATTTTATTTATTGTTGCTGTAGACGTATTTTAAGACTTTGCAATTGATTTCTGTGTCGAAGCATTTAACTTCAGAAACATAGAAACAGTACGAACTTTTTTCGGGTATTCGTTGGAGTCTTTCCATGTAGATTGACGGTTTTTCCCTTTCCGAATAATAATATGATTAATTTCGCACTTATCAAATTTAATGCCATGCATTTCAATAATTTTTTAATTTATTTCTGTTCGGAAAGCGCAAAAATATATCCTTCATTCCACAGCTTGTTTACGTGCGACTTTTTGAAAGAAGAATAACTTGAAAGAATAAAACTAACTGACGATAGTTTTCATTTCAAATAATGTGTTGCCAGAAATTTTTATTCCAAAACCTTTGCTTTTTTCAATTCTTTGTCGAAATCGTTCTAAAAATGTGCAAGCACCTTCTGTAGAACTTGTACTATCCGAGTTTCTCGTCACATATTACGGACAAGGAGCAGTGTTTTATTTAATTCTTCACAGCAGGGAAAATATATTATAAATTTTATAATTATAAACAGAGTACTTGAGTACAATTAGTTATGCAAAACTAAATATAATATAATAGTTTTAATAAAAAAATTATAAATTTTAAAGAGTAGACTTTAAACATGATTTATAATATTTAAAACAAAATAATATTTTTAACCGGAAATTCGAAGCAATGACATCAAATCGGAATAAAGTAAAAATTTGTATTTTTTTACCCGAAATATCTGCAGTCCTAATCTGTCCTTTCTTCAAGCTTCGAATATTTTCATATTTCGGAGTAAGTGAGCATAGATCCTTTCATAATATGTATAACTTCTATATCCTGAATAAAACAATTTTGTGTAAATGAATTCTAGTAAAAGAAATTAATTTGAAAAAAAAAAAAAAAAAAAAAAGAAAATCTGAGAAGCTTCAGATTTAAAATTACGTCCAAGGGGGCGTTTTTTAACATTATGTGTGTTAGCTTTACTTATTAAATATCATATTCTTCGCACTTAAACCTTAAAATTCTGTACAAGAGCAATATCGAAAAATAATTTTAAATTGAGCCTATCTTTAGAATTTTCGATACACAATCTCACGCGCTGGAGATAAAAAGGTTTTTTCTGTGCAACATTGCCATTGCTCGCTTTGAAAGCCTTGAGTTTGTTAATCGGAAATTTGTTAAAGATTTACAATATATGAAATCGGTAATTAAACAAATTCCAAATTTTAAATTTGGTCTTCCAGATGCCCATATTCGCAGTAGGATTAAGTCATTCAAAACTGGATGGCTCTATGTACCGTTCTTTTATCACAATGCGAGAAAGATACATACATTTATGTAGCTTCTTCATTATTTAATTTCTTCAAATATAATACATTGCGATAATATTTGGTGGCAACAGTTTGAAAAGTGAAACGGGCATTCAGAATTATTCGACGCAAAATCGCAAAACGAAAACTATAGTCCCTCAGGGACAAAGCACCTTTGGACTAAGATAAGACTTTTGGCATTTGAGGTTTTTAACGTGGCATTAAAAGAATATGGATTTATTAATTCTGAAGCTTCCAAATGTTTTATTAATTCTGAAGACATTTTCTCCTATTTCAGGTCTTTCAAGAATCTAGTTACCACTCTGGTGATACTCAAGTTGTCTTAGCAGCGCTCAGTAATGCTTATTCTTCCTATATAGCCACTTACGAAGAGTATCAGGTAAAATTATTTGCATAATATCAAATAAAATATATTCTTATCCTTTGAAATTTCAGAAACACTTCTCCATCAGGTCAGAACATCGTACAGTTTCTCGCTAGTTATTATTTTAGAGGTTTGGAATAAATTATGATTAATTATTTATTTACAGCTAAATTTTCGAATTGGGTGCATGTATAAAATTTTATTTTAATTAATAACTTTTCAGATTTAACTCAATAAAGCATTTATTTTAACTGCTTCTTAAGCGGGAATGATTTTTAAAATAATTCCTATCATCGAAAGAAGTAATGTGCTATTATTCGTTGTTTATTATAATTACGGGTCTTTTAAATCATGAATCACGGATCTCTTAAAAAACGTAGCCACATGCCATGTATGGTATTTGTGCATGTTGTGAAGCATGTACATTTTTCATGGACTATTGAAGAATTTCTTAATCATATGTAGAGCAGCTGATGAACTAAACGAGGTAGTTCAATCGGTAAATACCCTGCAATTAATCTAACGAAGCTTTTACGATTTTTTTCTGGGAAAGGAGACTTTTTTGATAGCTTAAATATATGTTCATTTTGTTGTTATACCAGGTAAAATCTGGCAATGGATTGGCGACGCTGTCACATATTTTCGCACTCCCCTGGTTCCTTTAACATATTAGCCAATCTTTGAGGAGGTCATATATTTTTAATCACTGCTGATTGTCTCAGTTTGAGCATCTACTGTAATGACCAAGCACCTATATCTCCTATCATTCTATTCATTGCATTTTGTTTCCAGGTTAGTGATCGTAAACGTTTAGACCCGTAGCTTACACGTCACGGAATACGTTTTGCATACCACATTACGTAGAAAGACCATCTAAGGATTATCGATTCACTTCTGGGATGCCCTTAGCAGAGTTAATTATAATTATGAACTCCATTATTTGAAACATCATGAATCCTTTCATATGCGTACCACACAGACTATGAGTTTGTTCTGGAACAGGTCGGGATCCAATATTGCGTGATTGAAAACATGATTGTAAGTGTCGTTGACCACATCTGTAGCATTCGCAACACTGTCAATAGTAAATAAACGTTTATCATTGATATAGTGTGTTATTATTAAGAGTTATTTGTTGCACGGATTAAAGTTTGCTTTTTTATAAATTTGTATATAAACCTGAATATAATTTTAAAACAGAGTAACAGAGCTTCGTGCCTCAGCTTTAACAACATTTAGCCAATCAAAATTATTCGGACATTTAGCCAATCAAAATTATCAAAGTTTTAACTCTGTAAATTGCATTTACATGGTTTGCTCATTTTTGCGAATTACCTGTCGAACTCTGGACTTTACTTGTTCAGCATTCTGATGTACCTTTCATATATTCTTTAATTCATTAAACCCTGAAACAATGTTTCAGTTTCTGTAGCTAACGCAAAATGTTCTTATACTAATTAGGTTATAGAAGAGGAAGTGTACCCATTTTTATAAAATATTTATTTTAAAACGTACAAAAAAGGAAATTGGAATCAAGCGTTTAAAAACACGAAAGAACAGGTCATGTGTCTTCCAGAAATATGCACATAACGGAGAGTGAGTTAAGGATTTTAACTACATTCAACAAGAATTTTCCAATATTCTTAAAAGGAAATAATTTGATTAAAAAGAAACATATCTGTGCACTCAAAGATAAAGAAAATTTCCCTTATTTTTGTAGTCTTGATAATTGTGAAAAGTATAATGACTAATTGTACTTGTTGAACAGGTTCAGCGTTACGAAGGTGCATCAACATTGTATGGTCCACATACGCTAGAAGCGTATATCATGCAATATGAAATGCTGGCTGATAATATGCTGTTGAGAAATGATATTGGACATGGTTTAGAACCAGCTAATCTCCTTAATCAGCAACTTAGTTTCAAACTCAATGTCATGTTCGATGGTATTAGGAGAGGAAGGAGTTTTGGAGATGTTCTGAAGGATGCCAATCCCGAATACAAAGTGGTAAGTACGTGTGTGTGTGTGTGTGTGTGTGTGTGTGTGTGTGTGTGTGTGTGTGTGTGTGTGTTTTTCAAAGTTTTGTCTTACTTTATTAAATTTTCTTTAAAAATGTAAATTCCTTATGTTTTATCAAAATATCGATTATTGTGCAGTAATCAAATTTTTATAGCAGTAAAATGTGCAAACTTCTATGAAATAACCTCATGTTGTCAAAATCACAAATTTTCTCTTAAATTTATTCGGTTTGTAATAAATATGGTAACAATCTAAACTTTTATTGAGTTATGCTTACGGATTAAGATCTGAAGAAGATGGATATTCAGTTTAGTTCATTCGAAATTTCCATTAAATTTTAGGGGTCAATGAGATGCGTAACAAAATGTGAACACAATAGCCATTGAAGTTTCCCCAAGAAACTTACGCGCATATTTAAAGCACAACAAAAGAAAAACGAATTGCTTTAAAAATTGTACATTTTTGCAAAAGTGTGTACCACAAAGCACAAAAATTATATCCTGATCATTTTTCAGGGAATTAGAGCATAATAAGACTCTGTGTACTTGGCTAAAGACAAGGAATTTATGTTCTTATCGTAATCCAAACATATAAATTCGATTTAAAATCCGGTGAGTATCCTCCTTTTTCATACATATCTGTAGTCAGTTGTGCTCTGTGTTGATGCCCACTATCATAACCAACAACAAAATAATTTTTTAAATTACAATCAAATAAATTAAGACTATTAGGTCACTGGATTACTTTTCTGCCATTATGAATCCTTTCTGATTATACAGAGATCAGTACGACCTTCTTTAACCGGAACTCATTTTCTCCAAAGAGCCTCATTGAGCGTGAGAGATTTCTATGTTTAATAGCCTACTATCTTCGAACTGTGAGTTTATATATTTTTAATAAAGCTGGTAAATGATCTTTAAAAGGATATTCCTTCTTTTTAAAGATGACCGAATGCTTTACGTCGATGCGTTCCTGCCGAGGAAACCATCTTCAATTCTGGGATATTCTCTGAACAATTTCGATGAAGGATTATGAATAAATGACGCAATTCTTCCGGACGAATTTTTATATAAACTTCTTCGTTTTATTTTATTAGTCTTTCATTTTTAAATTGCTTCCATATTTTACTAATACTTCGCAACCTCTCCTCAATTTCTTTAACTTCCAAATTTCATATTATCCTCCATATTAAAGATTATGGTTATATATGATATATGGTACTGATGTTGTATTATTGAAAAATCTGAAACGTTTGAGCCTTAATCCAAAACTAAACTGCAGCAGCCTTCAATCTGAGCTACGCGGAGCCCTGAGGGCTTCGCATGGACTTTCCACGGGCTTCTGGCAGCTCCAGAAACATAAAATAAATAGAAATGAATCAAATTGAAACATAAGAAACAAAAACATAAGTAATAACCATCAGAAATTTAGAAATTTCATTTTGAAAGTTGTAATTCACCAAGTTGAGTTTTGCTCCTTCTCTAACAGACGATGCTTAGTCATTCCTTGGAACTGCATATTCGAGAAACTTCTCATTCGTTTTCAATCCTTCGAGAATTCCTGGAACCCGTTCGAAGCTTTCCAAAACTTAACCCGATTTGAATATAAATTCTTAGTAGATTTGAAACCACTTCGCAAAGAATATTCATAGCGATAATATTGTGATATTTAAGCGAGTCTTTCACGAGTTTAATTCCTTTATGAGATTTAGTTGTATAGTTAACAAGTGTTCGTGAATAAAGATCATAATACAAATAATACCCTGCATAAAATCGCAACCTTTTAAAATCAGTTACTACTGAGCGAAGTGAAATACTAGTGAGCGATGAATATAGAAAGCCACTGTTAGTCCCTTTTGACTGCATGTTATGGTTAACTTGAAGTAATCAAGTTTTGACTGCACTTTAACTGAGTAACTGAAGTAACTTTTGACTGCATGTTATGGTTAACTTGAAGTAATCGAATTTTTTGCAACGAACGATGATGCTCTCAGCACTAATGTAAAATATCTGTTATAACACAAACTGATTTTATTTATTGAACTTTGGAAGGATATTTATGTATGGTTAATTTTTGACAACATCAAGTTGTTGAATAAATTGAGATATTATGGTTAATTTAAAAATTTAAATATAATTTATTTCATGCACATTTCACAACTCTTTAGTTTACACTTCCTTACTATCTGTAGCTTTTTCTTACCTTGTAATATTATTCTGTAACATTACTAACTTGTAAGACATAAAGGAGTACAGCTAGAGGAATTGATCCTGAAATGGGCTCCGAGCCAAACTATTTGTGTTGCCTTACGTTACGTTATTTCAATATGCCAAGACCACGGTAGCTATCTGCCTGAGAGGAGGGATACCTTTATGGAGAACGTTCTAAGGGAAGCTGGTTCGTATTCACGTTATACATTAGAGAAAAAACCAACCATGGCCCCAATAGCCCTTTCAGCTGAGTTAGAACATAAACCAGGTTAATTGGTTTATTTAACTATGGCAAAGCACTCGAGGGTTTTCTGCCTAAGGAGAGGAATGGCTTCGCGGAGGACTTTCTAATGGAAACTGGCTAGTACGTAAGTTACGTATGGTTAAAATTACGAAAACGCCCATGCAGCCAGGTCGTTCGCCAGGATTCGAAACATGGACCGAATAACCGGTGTTCAGCGGCTTTACCCACTTGGCCGCTGGGGAGCCTCAAACCAGGTCGAAATATCAGTATTTAACGGTCTAAATCACTTAGCTACTGGTGGGAGCACAAAAAGCTTGGTAACCTTCGACTTCATAACATCGAGTGCTACACTCTTAGGCATTTCAAACCGAACTCAAGCAAAATGTGCCATCAACACAAATTTGCACATTCACTAAAACTTTTTGTCCAGCTTAATTTAATCTTTTAGTGTTTTTTGGAACTCTTATATCCTATGTTGTTCGGTTCGCTCTGTAGATCTCTACTTATAAACATCGTCCCTTAATTTTGTTGAGCTGTTACATAACTTCTAATATGCAATTAACTATAAAAGATTTCTGTGCTTTATTAAGTCTTTGTTAATTTTACTTTTTCTTTTCATTCTCTAAAGGGGTCAATAGTCAAGGTTTCTTTCGTCAGTGGACATCCGAGGAATGATATGATGGTAAGTAAAAAGAATCCTTTTTAACCACAATTTAATAGATTTAATATTTACATTTCGGCTTCACTTAATCATATTATTAACTGTTTGATTCTTTTAAACTGAAAATTAGAATTGATAAGATTTCTTTTTGCCATATTCTTTACACAGTTGGAGAAGACATTTCTCACTGTTGAACGGTGGAACAACGAAACGAACAATTGGGATGTAGTGGCAACTGATGCAAATTGGGAAACTAAGTAAGTTCTGTATTTCCTAGAATGATTTCTTGATATTAAACGCTCAGTGTTAACTGATTAGGTTTCTTGGTGAATCTAAATTTCTGATTAGTCCCTGCACATATTAATTAGCTAAAGCAGAAAGATGAAAACTTAAGCCACTGTTGAATATAATATAGAAAATTACAGCGCAGGTCAACGTTATCATATAGTTTCCTTTGCAATATCGCTACGCAAAGCTATAAAGTGCTGTAGAATCATTGAGTTCTTTGGTGAAGGTTTCTACTATACCTTCACCGAGAACTGAGACTTAATCTCTCTGTGCTAGATGAATATACTAACTACTACCTCAAAAGTACTTAAAAGGAATGCCTTTAATTTCTTATAACTGTACCACATTTTATATTGTAAGCATTTCTTTCGTTCATGCGTATACTGTTTATATTTAAAAACAAGTCCAAATTTTTAAGATTTACGGAACCTAAAGTTACGGAATTCTCATGTGGTAAAACGTCTAGAACTGATAATATGCCCTCCATAATTAAACACTCTATGTAATGGTCCGGACTGGACTGTCTGGTTACGGCAAAGCACGCTGCGTAAATGGAGGGATGCTTTCATGGAGAGTTATCTAATAGAAACTGGCTCGTTTTGTTGTCACACTCAGGTAAAATCACCTATGCAACCAACCTTTCCGTTTAGAATTTCGGGTCCAGCTATCGATGTTTGATGCTCTTATCTTTAGGCCACAGATGGAACATAATAGTCCGGTAAAACTCCTCACTGAAACAAAAAAGCAAACTTTTATTAATTTTTATTTATTTATTAGTTGTTTTGGTACTTTGGTATTATTGCAAACATCTTGGCGCAATTTGGAGTTTTTTTTTTTTTTTTTTTTTTTTTTTTTTTTTTTTTTTTAAAGTTGGTTGGGATTTTTTTATTATGGCAATGCACCCGAAGTCTGTCTGCATAAAAGGAGGGATGTCTTCGTGGAGGACTTTCCTAAAGGAAATTGGATCGTATACATATGTTACACGTTGGGAAAATGACGAAAACTCCCATGTAGCCAACTCATTTGCGGGACTCGAACTGAACTACCAGTGTTCAGCGACTTTACCGCTCGGCCGCTGGTGGGTCTGAAGAAGAAAAAGGATGGTAGTTTCAAATCAGAGAAAGTTATTTATTTCATATCATACATTTATCAAGTACATATTTTAGGTCAATGTTTATCCCGGAAAAAGTTTATAAAATTACTTAATAGGTTTTCGCTTTTCTGCCGGTGGAAATTTGGTAGCGATCGCTTTAAATATAGATTCAAAGCAATTGGAAACTACTCTTAACAATCCTGAATTCTTCACTCCAGTAGTGTATAAATCTGATTGCTGTTGTAAATGGCTATTCTAGAATTAATTACCGCTTTGAATGCCGACATGTTCGTTACGCTTTTTCAAGCTGCATTTCCATAACAGATGTTTTGCAAAATACAACATCATCAAATGCGTATCTGAACATTACCAACTTTCTGGCAAAATAATATATTCCTACAAAAATTTCACAGAACTTTCTTCGTTTGCAGGCAGATCTCACAAGCGTATATTTCAAAATTCAGTTTTTTTTTTTTTTTTTTTTTTTTTTTTTTTTTTGATTATTCAATCATGACAAAGCACACAAGGGCTGTCAGCCTAAAGGAAATGATGCTTTCGTGGAGGACTTTCTAAAGGAAACTGGCTCGTATACACGTTACACATGGGGAAAACCACGCAAACGCCCATGCAGCCAGCCCGTTCGCGGGATTCGAACCCCGGACCGAACTACCAGTGTTAAGCGTCTTTAACGGTCAGCCGCTGGTGGGCCTTCAAAATTCAGTTGACAACTAAAAATATCGCAGTTTATCTTTAGAGCTTCTTATACAACCAAGTCGCAAATTCCGTTGATATTTTGAAGGATATATTTCTCATCCGCAGTGTTAATATTCACATTCGTTTAATGTTAACAAAATAGTCAAAAACAAATCAACGAAATGAGAATGATGAGTCCCTGCGTTAACATACTTTGTCGCGTAACATAGGGTTTAATGTGTTAAATAATTAACTTTTCAATTCACTTCTTGTAACATTGCTATAACAAGTTTTCGTCATGAGAAAGTTACAGACATTCAGGATATAGAAATAACAGAATACAAATTTTATTCGTGAATGCATGTTAAATAATTTTATACTCAACTATTTTCCAGATATTTTTGGCAAAGGACGAATTCCCTGATTGCTGAGAGCATGTCGACTGTCACGTGGGATATTCCTGTTACCACAAAAACTGGCCGATACAGAATCAGGCATTTTGGAAATTCGAAGAACTTATTACAGATTATAAAACCTTACGTAGGCACTTCACGAGAATTTATTGTTACTGCATAGCGTTTCTTTTAATGTCCTATTTGGTACTTACTACATCACAGTCATTATTTTGACGCTCCTATATTTTGTCTTAAACAAGAAAATTTTTCTACGGTTTATTTTTATGAATTGGGAATTTTTTCTTTTCTCAGGTATTTAATTACTGTAAAAAAATTTTAAGGTCTGGAAAACAAAATGTCAGCATAAATATATGTTTAAAGAAATATCTTTTTAGAAAACGTGTTGCAGCAAGATTTACAGAAATTTTAAACAAAGACTATTTATCCGCGAAATCAGTTTTACTTCCATAGTCATCCTAATAATTTTTGAATGTAATAATGAATTATGAGCTTGATAAAAATTCATCTAAAAAGTTTAAATGTTCTATAACTGTTTAATTTTGTGATGCTAAAATACAAAAGAATCTTGAAGACGCACCAAAGGAAATGTAACACGTATGTTTCACAAATATAATTTTCGTATAATTATTCTTTCTAAAGAAACATTTAGTATACAAGCAGTTAAATAAATATAAATTTAAGCTTAACAATAATCAGCCATATGCGTCGCTTTATGAATTAATTCTTAATTCAACATTTTCATGTCTAATTTATCATTTCATCAGGAATTTTTAGAAGTTTCCTTACAAGTGAATTAGAATACGATTTCTTATGACGGATTTTTCTTACTTTAATTCATTAGACTTTTAAATAACACGCGAACACATGCGTATATAGTATTTTTAAGTAGAAATGCTGGATATCCTTAGTGTTGATTTGCGGGATATTAGATAATACGAAGTCGCGATGCCAACTTATACAGTTGAACAATTTGGCTTCGCTCCAAAACTCTTGAATATGAGCAGTAACAAGGAATAGTAATTCGCAGTATAATTAATAGAAAAATACTATTTATGATTTACCTGTGCTTTTAAGCAGTTTAATCTGGAGAATAAGTTTATTTGTTTATTAAATCAGTATTAAAAACAAAAAGAACGCACTGTAAATAATGAAAGAACAAACATCATTAAGTTTGTTTAGTTGATTAAAGCAAAGCACACTAGGGCTATTTGCCTAAGACGAGGGATATCTTCGTCAAGTACTTTCGAAGGAGAACTGGCTCGTAAACACGTTACACATAGAAGAAGCACCCAGCCCGTTCGTCAGGAATCGAGCCCAGGTCGCAGCTACCAGTATTCAGCGATTTTGCCGCTCGGCCGCTGGTAGGTCAAACAACATTAGAAATGAAGAAACTAAATTATAATTTATTATCGCATCACCTGCTTTTGCTACACCTGTCGTGTGTAATTTTCTTTTCCTTTCTCTATTTTCGGTTGACAGTTTTTTTAGGCTGATAACTTGTAATAGTCATTTTTCCTTAATTCCGCAATAAAAAAGGTTATTTCTTTAAAAAATATGGCTTGGTTAATCAATAACTCGGTTAGTACACCCATGATTTATAGAGAGTTTAGTGTATGTAAACAGAATAAAAACAAAAGACATTTTCAAAAATATTTCTTTCTCGATTTAATATTATTATTTCAGGAAATAAATATTTGACAAACTTTCTCGGGTAGGTTAAGTAACCAAAAAAAGATTTTCAAAAAACAAAGAATAAAGTTGTATGAATTATGCAGCCTTCTGAGATTTCAAGGATTACAGGCGATAACTCTTTTTAAGGCATGCATTATCATTTCTTCCAGCCTTTTTCTATGAAAGCCTTTTCCTGCTTCCTCCTTTCAACGTTTTCCTATTAGCTGTAATTATTATAATATTATGCATTTCTTGCCAACTATTTTTAAGCCAACCAAAAATGTGTATAATATAGAGCTGTCGAAACGCAATACATCCGTTAAAACATTTCAGTAGCTCTTAGTTGAGGTGAAAACTGAATAGAACTGGCCTAACATTTTTCACAAAAATTGGACATTTTTCGAAGGAAGTTAGTTTTATGACTATTAGCAGTTAAGTAAAGTTTCACTGCACAGTAAAGTGTAAATACTGCACAATAAAATCTAAACGAGCTGTCCTTGAGTATAGCATGCCTGTTTTAATTGAGGTTTTATTATTCCAAAGTTAACAGCTTCCAAAGAAGAATTAATATCGTAATTTAAATACCATTCATTTTCTGTTACAATCAGTGTAACAGAAACGTAAAGTGACACATTTTGTGTATTTCAGTCTGTACAAAATAAGTGTTGAAAGCATTAAGATGGTGTTAATTTAATAGTTTTATATTTTATACTTTAAACTCTTGATTAATAAATTATGCTTTATTCAGCTCTGTTTTAAAGTACATTCTGATTATTGTATATATCATATATCATTTGCCAATTTTACTAACTTATTTAGGAATTAGTTTTTCGATATGTCATTATTTTTAGTTATTTCTTATTTATAAGCAACTATGATTACTTTGAATTACCTTCTTTCGTGTGGCAGCCAAAGCGTTCGTATGCAGAAGGTCTGTAATAATCAATACAGATGTAACTAACATCTGCGGATAACCGTCATTTGTAAATACTTACTTAAGTATAAAAGACAAAAACCTCCAACTTGAACTTTAAGCTATTTCGACTGAAGTTAATTGCAGAAAAATTGTGCGTGTTCCTAAAGAACTTGATATAAATCCTTCTACAAGTAACAAAAATTCTGCCCCATTTTGACGAAAATACGTGATATGAACGAATATAAATATTAAATAAACAACAAAAAGGGAAGCAATAGTTATAGCACCCTCTGTAGGAGAAAATGGAAACTAGACGCATATTAAAATTTAGCCTTTATATGAAGTTTATTTTAAATGGCACAGTTTAATTAACTTTAAAAGACAATTGAACTCTATACTTTACAAATCGCTTGTGGAAGGGAAGAAAATGGACTGGATTAAAATTCTTATAATTAAAGTACAAAAAATATTTTATCCAATCGAAATACACGTCTGCTAATTCTAAGCACCTTTTGAGTGTTTGTGTCCTTTTTAATAATGAATTTAGCCAATCTCATTACAGTCTTCAAATGATCAGTATGCATAATTACAGTTAATTAATAGGTCAAAACAACGGCAGCCACATGTATTTACGTTGCATGCACGTACTTTACATCTCCAGTTTCATTATTGCATTACTTTGTAAATAAATTTGTAAAATATATGATTACAAATTATTTCAGCTTCTATTGAAATGTTTATATTGCGAACGGTCATTGAATGGTATTGTTATATATATTTCATACTTGTGACTAATACTTAGGATAAGGTCTACAAAAAGCATTATAAATTAATATTTAATCATGAAATTTTTAATGACTTTTTTCTTTTCTGTAAAATTTTTTAGTATTACAATTTTAAATTATATATTTTATGAAATATAAAATCAAATATCCAAAACGCTCAGGTGATTAAAAGAGTTTAAATTCTTATTATATTTAGTTTAAACTTTAATTTCCAAAGAAATGGGTTTTGAAAAATGTTTTTAATCTTTCATATTTGGTTTCACTTTTGAAGTATCTTTGATTTGTTTCATTATTTTTATCATGTAAATATGTGTACATTTTGTGTATGTCTATCTGTAGATATCTGTGATAATATTACTAATAATAAATAATACGGACTACAAAGTTGTTTGTTTCAATTTTATATTTTATTTGTATAAAAATTACCTAAATTCAAAAATTAAATCTTTTCACAAAGTACAAAAATATGAAACTGAGGAACCTTACGATATTGGACACATGTAGAAATACCCGTTGTACTGAGAAAATAAACAGTGACTTTTATTTTTTCTCTAATAACAGGGGTCTTCAAACAGCGTTCTGCGAAATTTTGGGGTTTGGGCCAAATTTTCAAGGGATTGTGCAAGTCAAAAGCAAAATTCGAAAGAATTTTTTAATAACACGTGGACTGTAAAACTTACCATATAAAATAATTAGATAATTTTTAATTCTTTTGTCACAATTACCTAAAATAATACGAAGTAAATCTATTTTTATCAGCAAAATCGTAATCAAAAAAATTATTTTCTTTTCATTTTTTACTTAAAAATACATGTAACATTTATGCACTTTCAATAATTTTATGGTTTATTTTTTAATTGACAGTAGGAGTTTCAGCAAAATATTAAAATTTTGGGGACTCCAGAAGAGAAAATTATGTTTTAGTGGTTCCACAAAAGAAAACTATCTTTTTAGGGGTTCTCCGAATCGACAAAAACGTTTGAAGACCACTACTGTAATATATATCTGTTCATACGTTTAATCTCCATAAACAGAACATTGTGAAACTGGACATAAAATATGGACGCGACAGTCTCATAGAAATTCTTGATTGAGAAGCGTTCGTAACATACACAAAAATCTAGTAGCTTAGGTAGTTTAAAAGAGTTTAGAAAACGATGCAATTGTAATTGATAATCGAAATAAGTTAATGTACTATCTAAGTTAAATTAATGTAATTCCAAAACCTTAAGAATTAAATTTAAAAAATAATCTGAAGTACATTAAAAAAAACTTTGTTATTATTCCGAATGCTCGAAAAAAAAATTGCATGACTAAATATGTCTTGGGCAAGAGTTTGAAATGCAGAGTTTCAGGTTAGGAAAGGAATCGATAAGGTATGCTTTCAGCCTGTTAACACTTTTCGGGGATCTTTTAATTAAAACAGAGGAAACTTAAAAGTTTTTTACGTGTTCTGTAGTAAAAAGCATTGAAGCATTTTTTAAAGCTAATCGAATAATTATGCACTCGTCTTTTTCTCCTCACAATAAACTCATTATTGTACTTATCTATACGGGTTTAGCTAAAACTTATTACAAAGCAATTTCTAAATGAATGGATTTGTTACATGCAGTATCAAAGAGTATCTATGGAATCCCAATTATTCCTTTTCTTATAAAAACAACAGAACAAATTATTTAATTTGTCAGTTAACTTTGCACATTATCAAGTCACAAACTTTGCAATGGCCATTCCACACAGTCATGATGTTCAAATCAGCCGTAATATTCAAAGTTCACTTATTAACATCAGCCATAAGAGAGGACAATCTCACTTCACTATGATGCGATCTTTTGACCTGAAATCATTATTGGCCATCATTTTGAAAGCAAGGCCATTCGATTTCAACTATTTACAAGAAGGTCTTCCAACCTGTAATGTTAAAGTGGAAGGAAAGAATAATACACTTATTCTATACATTAAAACATAGTAATTAAACATACATTAGTTGCACAATATCTATCGATAACCTTTTACATTAATGAATATTAAGTTTCCAGTTGTCAATGGCAAACTTGGAACTTTGAAGTTTGGTAGCATTTTAAATTTTATAGTCACAAAATAGCATTGCATGTCAAATAGATTTACTTTTACAATTTTTAATTAGCATTTACATGGATTAACTAGCTAATTTTTTAACATCACAGAGTTCTAGATAAGAAAACCCTCCTTTTTCCCAGTATTCACTTTTAATTTTATTTTCAAGACGTATTTCCCAGTATTCATTGATAAAACGTTTCCTCAGAACTTTACCAAATTTATAACCTATGACATTTGATAAGCTGAGTTATGAAATTGCTTATGCTTGCCTTATGTTAATAATTATTTATTAGTTACTTATATACTTTCACATATAAAAAATTGATGTCAATGTTTATCTTACAGTTGATACACTATTCAAAATGCAATCATCTAAAGCTGTAAAATGCGTGCTTTGATTTAGGTCGGTAAATGTAGATGGTGCAAGATAAAATTTTTCTGTTATTTTTTTTTATCGCATCGCATTTGTGCTATAATCTGTAACCAGAGTGCTTATTTTAACTGTAAATGCATACTATTAAAGTCATGTAAGTATAAATTCAATATCAAACATCTTTTTGCTTGTAAGTGTTTCAAAACTCATTATATTCCGCCCATGTTTTTCAAATATTAAACATCAATTTTAACTTTTTATTATACATATTAATTTAATATGTATTTACAACAAACATGCACATCTATTTGCTATTTTACTTTTAAATTTCAACAATTGGGCATTTAGGGGCATTTAGAAAATTCGGAAAGTCGCACAGTAAGGTTGCATTGCGAAACATCTCAGCACTTTACATTTGCATTGCCTATCTACAGCGACTCAGCGCCTAAATTTTTTTTAAATCCTCATGGATAGGGATAACCGGAATCAACCGGACCTGTTCCAGCAAAATTGAACATTTCAAGTTGAAAGACCTTCCTTGTTAGCTGTTAATGAGTTTATTAATATTTCTCGGTCATCATTTTGCTATACAAAAGGTTTCGACATACAGAGCTGTAATATATATATCTCAAAATCCAAGGAGCCATAAATTTCTGTAAAACATTTTAAAAGTTTTGTTTTCAGAGCAATTTGTATACAAAAATAGAACTTCTAAAATCATTCTCCACAGTATGATTGATTATCATAGTCATCATCAACTTCTTTCACTTTTTATTCCTGAGTTGCATTGTCGTCAAGATCACATTTATAAATATGTTAAGTCATGAGCCTTAAATCTGAGTATATTCAGTCTGAAAGTGTCAAAGTTTCTCGCCAGATAAACTGGTGATATTGTAATACGAATGATCAGGGAAACGATCCAGCTCGATATAATCATTTTCGCTAATCAGCAGCTTATCCAAGAGCTGAACGAGTTCTGTAAATGACGGTCGTTTATTAGGATCCCTGTCCCAACAGTAAAACATAATATTATAAACTTCTCGCTTGCAGTGTTCCGGTTTCTCCAGGCGAAATCCTTCCTTCACTTTACGAAGGACGTCAGCGGCTGCCATACCAGGATACGGCGTTGACCCTGGAACAGAAATAAAAAAATAAATTAGTGATCCAATTTTTCAACATCCAATATTACAATCGGAAGAGAAACACGCTAATGTTACATTAAGCAAAAGAACAATGGCGCAGAATATTAATAAAATTCGATCCCTTTTGAAGATGCTCAAACGTAGATCCCACTTTTTAAGGTATAAAAGTGCTTTTGTGAAGGTGGGAGACGCAACAAAAAGTTTACATGGAAATCAAGAGACGGAGACGAAACCAAATGTAGTGCCATCTGTCAAGGAAAATAGCAGTGAAACTTGAAAAGTTAAGCAATTCCAGTTCTGAAAATGTTGAAAGAATTGACTCGGAATCGATATCATTCTTCGAAACCTCTCCTATCTATAAAAATTTATCTTCTTCAATTAATGGCAACAGTTCCAATAGAATTCTTCCCAAAGATTTCAAAATGTTAATATCTAAGCATTTTCAAATTTCAATATGACTTTCCTCGACAAAAACGGCGTTACGTTTTCATTTCCCTCCGAATACTGGTTTTCATGTAAAGTGGTTGTTGCTCTTTCCGCCTTTTAAAACATTTGCCTAATTGCAAACCCAGGATTAGCTCATAGATTGCAGCTCATACTGTGAAAGTTTCCAGTGAATTCACATTGTTTTTCTATAGTTTTTCCCCAACAACTTCCATGTGATAGAATTTAAAACGCCAAGTCTCACGGTTAAAGAAAAAAAAAAGAAAGAAAGAGGGGGACAAAGAAAGAAAAGAGAAAAAACGTAGACTTAAAACAACGTGGAGAAATCTTCTGAGCCGTGATATTTCAATTTAAACATATTCAGTTACTGCTAATAAATCCATTTATGTAACCTCTATGAAGTCAGCATATTTGAGATAATTAATGTGATTTCTATTTGTCACTGCCGTTTCATTTTCGGATAGTGGAAGGAAAAGCGAATGTATTTTATGCTCAAAAAGTTCAAGGAAAACGAAATTAAAAATTTTGCTGTTTGAAATATAAAATAAATAAATATATATATATTAAGTATTTTTAAAGTAACACTTTTCGGAACAAGTCATCGTGACGTTTTAGATAGATAAGGCTGTCTGAAAACGTTAACTTTGTAGAACTATCTGGCTAACAAAGAGCAGTTCTCGAGGTCAAGAAATCTTAACTAATTAAAGAAACCCAAGATTCTTTCTTCAGATGTATTTTTGCTTAATGTGACATCGCACAGAGAGGTCAATAGATGCTTTTATTTCATTTCCACTACACTACAATATGAACGCCGTCTCGGATGACATCACTTTATACCTTCATTTTATAGACAAAACAGCAGTGTACTCTGCCACCAATAGGGATAGTCGTTAGGATTTGAGAGCCAAGACTCTTCGATACGGCATTCAGAGTCTCTAGCTCAGAGTCATCAAAATTACAGCCCACATGGGATAGGCAATTTTGATGTGCAATATATGCAAATATCACTACCCAGAACAGCCGCGTCTGGAAACAAAGCAGCTTATAGATTACAGTAGCTTGCTTTATGGTTTGGTACAGAGTTGTCAAATATATTTTGAAGGGGGTTAATGGATACTGCAATCTATGCAGTTTCGATTACATGGCGGAATTCATTTGTCGTATGGCTGACGAGTATTGGCATAGCAGTCTCTTTGCAACGGTTTACCATACGTGTCTGAGATCTGAAGATCTTTATTATGATTTCCGATAGAGATATGGCCAAGACAGTTACACTCCAAAAGAGGACTGCTGGCCCTGTAGTTATAGCCTTACAGCATTATCATCCTCTCTGCAGGTGCCATATATTACTGCAGCTTCGCCACCGTAGGAGGCCCCAAAGAACAAACAGCACTAAAGCTATAAAAAGGAAGAAAAGAAAAAAGACATAAAAGTAACGTCATCACTAAAGTTATAACCGTGTTGTGCAACAGGACTCTGTCTATTAAGGAAGTGTAGGACAGCGTGGACAATATGTGATCTCACAATATCCGAATAAAACGTGAGATGGCGGAGGCCCCAAAAATATGGCATAGCCACGGGCATTAAAGCCTCAGTAATGTAGCAATGGCGGGTCAATGTGGACTAGAAGACAACACGATGCATATCTAAAGGCACTACAATACCGTCAGTATATACTATGTTGGGCCAATAACACGCCGAAGAAAGCGTTCTCTCATCTAGCTTCCAAAGTTCATTTTTCTCGGTCTCCACACATGGATACGGGTAGCATGATACTGTAATTAAAAGCGGGATTCGTGTAAAAAGAAGATGCCACTAATGCGTCCATATGCGAACGGTGAGAGTACCACTGTAGGCTATGTTACCTGTGCTGTAATTGAAAGTGAAAGTTAATTAAAACGTATTTCATTTCTTGATTTCAATCAAATCCTCGCAATACAAGAAAACCATTCTTATAGGTGTTACAATGCGTAATGAATTTTACTGTAGTTTCTATTTCACTTTCGTGTTCAGGTGAAATTTAGTAAGAAAAAGCTTAGTTCACTTTTTATTTCAAATCTGCAGAATGATCAAAATACGAACAGAACATTTTGCTTATGGGTGTTAAAAAAATGCAATAAGAATTTTGTTTTACTTTCTAAGCAAAAGCCAGTTTTAGAAATAAAAACCATATTCATGCTCAGGAGCTGAAATTTAATAATAAAATAAAAGTGCATTTCATTTTTGCAATGGGAAAAAATTGAGAATTTGTAGAACAGTGTAATTACAGGAGTAGAGGCTTCTTAAGAGGTTTTCCAAGGCTTAATCGGTCCCTAATTTACAGACCTATTTTAAACTGATAGTTTATTTATATGAGGGAATTTTAGTCTTCCAAAATCTTAGCAAATTCCTGAGCTCTCATGAATATTTTCCTTTAAAACAATTCCTCTGTAACACACGAAGATTCTTTTGCATCTTGCACAGTAAGAAATTATCTTCTTTTGAATTTTATTAAACTGAAAATCAACTAATCCTAATTTCACAACTTACCCAAAGTAACGATTTCCCACATGACAACACCGAAGGACCAGACATCCGTTTTTGTAGTGTAGATGTTGTCATATAAAGATTCCGGAGCCATCCATCGGATTGGTAAACGACCCTAAAAAACAACAATATTTTTTTAAATGAAAACAATAATGGCACTTACGTATTAGCAGATCTAGATTAGAACCCGTCAAATTCTGGCAACCATACTCAAAGCAATTCTTCAGTTTTAACAGGCAAAGTCGTCATTTTACTCTGTGTTCTTTCTACTGTAATCCAAGGTCCAACAAATTTTTGAGACAAATCGTGATATTTTTTGGCTTAATCTCAGTTTTAAAATATGTACTCATGGGACTTGCTTACAATGGAATAAACTGCCATAAAATTTTAAAAGAGTACAGTATTTTGAAACAAAATCGCTGAGAGAAATGATTGTTACTTTTAAAGCGATCGGTATAAAATTTTCACGAGAATTTAAAAAATAAAACCCTCCTTGTATGCAGGTTTATTAATTTATATTCGAAATAAATGCCTAATTAAAGGGCAAGGTATCTATGTAATAATATGTACGCAAGTAATATTTTTTTTTGGGGGGGGGGCAATTACATACTTTTTCCAACACATTTTTTTACACTGTAAAAAATCACCAAAGTGTTTACTCTAATACGTAAAATATGATGAATGTTTATTATGATTTTATAACATCATAATAAACATTCATGTATTTATAATATAATAACATTCTAACATAGGCAAACGTTTAATAGTATTTTGATATTATTATAATTATCGGTATCTGCTTACTTCTGATTTTCTTTCATACACATGGTTTATGATAACATCTCTTGCAAATCCAAAATCAGCCACTTTACATGTTTTGTTATCTCCTACTAAGACATTCCTAGCAGCAAGATCCCTGTGAATAATCTAAAAAAGAAAATCAGGTATTATTTCAGCTTTGAATGGCATTGACGGCAACTTCTTCAAACTGAAATCGAAATTTAAAATTAAAATTTTAGAAACATGATTAATATTTATTAAACATGATATAATTTATTAAAAATGAATTTAAATATCTTTAGTATTTACAAACTAGTCATTGCTTCAACAAAAAGAAATCATGGTACCAAACATTGCGCCATTAAAAAAAAAATTAAAAGTTTTAGTTTTAATTTAATATGAGAAAGAAATACGGAGAAATACGCAAAAAGACTTGCATAATTTACTTCTGACGAAAATAATAGAGCATTTCAATAAAATATTCATTAAACGTTTCATAACAACATTAGTTACTTTAACAACGAATTGAAACACTCACTATTTCATTATTTTGTTTATAGATGGCAGCACCACGTTCACAAGATCTAATGAAGACAATGCCAGTAGATGGCAGCACTATAATTCAACCCTTCTTTTTATTGAAGATACAATTTTAAATTATTTCAAAAAGAAATAATTAAATTTTTAAAAGTAGCAATTAAATGCTTAAATATTGAAGAGAATACAAAAAAAAATTCGATTAAAGGAGAGAAATACATCATTCAGCAAAAGCAAACTAAAAAAGAAATGAAGAGTGAGAAATTAGGAAGTATGTGAAATCCGGAAATGTTCTTGAAAAGAGCAGATACGTGAAAACTACGAAGAACATTTTTTCGTGCATTCTCTCCTATAATTTAGTTAATGATATCAGACCACTATGTTTATTACCTTCGAAACATATATTTCAGTTTAAGAATACCGAAAAAATTATGATGATATATTTAACTGATATGATAACATAATCATGCTCAATTCAATTTTCCTAAATGCTAATTTTCACTTTTTATTTTACTAAAAAATAAACAAAAAAATTAAACTATTATATCTCACTAATTTTTAGCCATACACACTTTTCTAGCAGCTTCATTTCAATGCTAATTATTGTCTTAAAAGACATTATTTTGGTTTCCAGTTCGAATAGTTCTTTTTCATAGCGATTTTACTTAAATTACCAGCAATGTTTTTACAGATTTTGTGATACTTTGAAACTTCAGAACTTCATATTAAAGAATTCAAACAAAAAATACAAAATAACATTTATAATAAAAATTATTAATGACAAACACCTAAACTTTCACAGCATCTCTCCAAATATCTTCTTATAAGTTATAAAAAGTAGCATAGATTAAGCAGTGTTTTCGAAATAACTTCTAAGATCGGGATTTCTATTCAAATATATGCTTTTGGGAGAGATAAGGGAAAGTATCTTAGAAGAAATGTTAGTACGTATGTGTTAATATACATACATATGTATGCTGAAATACCCTCAAAGCAAAATCCATAAACAAAACCACTCTCTAAAAACTGCAGTAAGTTTAGTAATAATAACACAAAGGAGAAAAAAAATTACTATCTTTCTCGAATCAACCAGAGCTTAATGCACTAAAGCATAAGAGAAAATAACAACAACAATGTCAAAAGGAGGGGGAGTATGAGGGGGAAAAAACTAATATGTTCATATGTGTCATATCTATAACCTGTCTTTGGAGTTTTAGTGCTATGAGATAACGCAGCAGAATAGCCATGCTTCTGAACCACTCTATGAACAATGCAACAGTCTAAGTTGAACGAAATATTCGTATAGATTTTTATAATGATATATTAATTTAAAACATATTTAAAAACACTAAAACATTTAAAAGCTTTAATCAGTTTTCTGCGAGGAAGAAATTTAAGTATGTAATCGACTTCAAATTTTAAATATAAGGAAGGATGAAATAAATAAGAAGAGAAACAAATTGTCTCTTCTGTTCTCATAAATTTACCATAGCTGTCTAACTCAGCAAATTAAGAAAAACAACTGCATTACAAATATTTAAGAAATGATAGTGCAATTTCGACACCTCCAAGGGCAAATTAAAATTGGATCTTAAAGGAACGGGAGCACATTAGTTATTTCAATATTCTGACAGTAGAAACTTCAAACAGTTCACGTAAAAACGTTTATAGATGCAGCAATACTGAAATCACAGGATTGCACAGCAATAAGAATTAATAAGATTACGCAATGAATTTTACAATGCCACTTGAAATATACTTTTCCCGAAATACATTTATACCCTAAAATCTTAAATTTGAAAATCACTAAATGATTAATGAGAGCAGTGACAAAAAATTTCGCAAAATCAATTTTCAGTGATATCCTTTATGTTGAAGTCCTGAAGACAGGTATAGGTAGGTTATAATAGGTATAAGTAATTAAAGATACTTGAGCACTACCATGCGTTATCATAGGCAGTTTATTCTTGTTATTCATTTATTAATTTAGAAAATCTTACAAAATATCATGCAAAATACGTTACTGATCTTATGTGATTAACCTTACAGAATACGTTAACATAATATTACAAAGAAATATTGAAGGATACGTTCAAAGATCATGTTAATATAAAGAATTAGCAAAGACAATAAATTCGTACATAACGACAGTAACAGACTATATAAAACATATCGGCTTATAGAGATTGCAATCAAATTAGGGCTAATGCCGGGGAAATAAGTCACGGATAACTGAAAAATACGGATAATTCAAGTTATCAATTTTTATGCATATTGTATGCATCTATTTCTAAAAAAATCAGAAATTACTTTGCTTTTGAGAACGTTTAAATATCTACCGGATTTAACTACGAATTTTTCGAAATACTATTATTTATTCGAATCCCCTCTCGTCGACGAAGTCCAACAGAGCTTCAAGAAGTCATTACTGCCTCGAAACTGATGTAATGAATTGTCAGGATCTTTTCGCTTGTGCTTTTAGTATCACTGTCTGTTCTTACGACGTATGAAGCTATATCCGCATCACTTAAGCACCGAAAGTCCGGCTCAGTTGACCAGCTATCGAATCATTCCACGATTTTTAGAAATCGACATTTTTGAAGAAGTTTACCTTTTAAAATTTTTGGAACATCAGTCGTATGCGAAAATCATTTTTAAAAAGTGTTGTTCTAATAACTTCAGTTATTAGCTCAACTTCTTGGCAATTAAATAAATCTCCGATTTCTACATTGAAAATTGCGTTTTTAAGTATGTTTTGCTTGTGAGCTTAAATAGCACAAATATAAAACTCACAGGGGGATCAATTCAGGAGAACTAGGAGGCCAGCTCATTATAACCGTCCAGTTGACATTGTACCAGTGCGACCAGTTGACATAATCCAAATGTTCTAAAAAAGCTTTTTGCTGTTTAAACGCATTTTTTCACTTTATCTCAGAACGAGGTTTTTTTAACAATAAGCCTTGTACTTCGGGACTGTAAGACTTACTTCACATTATCTATTTCCACTCAGATAACACTTATTCTATTCTGTTAAATTTTTAAATTATAAAAATTAAAAATCGTATAATTTCGTCTGACTTACATATGTATCATTTCAATATTTAGTTCAGTTTTCATTAAGCCGATGTATTCATCATACTTTTAATTGTTGAAAAGAGCTGTAATCTATTCCATATGCTAACGTCTACAAAAATAATTAAGTAAATGCAGTTCAAACACCGCTCTACAGACCCCTTTCGCAGAAAGGTATTCCATTCCTTTGGCCACTTGGTACGCAAATAACGTCAGATCACGTGATGTCAGATGCCGGCTACTACCGTGTAGATTGCCATAGAAACGCTCTGCTCGGCTCTCCCGCAAATAAGTCTGTAACTTCCCATTTTGTACATATTCCATGATGAGAAACATCGGATCTGAAAGAAAGTAAGATCTCATAAAGCAAGATGCACAATAAAACACGATTTTATAAGTATGGCTATTAAAAATTATCCTTAAATTTATGAATCGTTTTAATTTAGTTTTAATTATGATATATAAAAGGAATATCGGATAAAAATGAAACACATTTCAGATATTTAAAAGATAATAGAAGTAAATCTTAAAAATAATTTATCTTAAAAACTTATCTTTTAAATTTAATTTAAAAATAAATTTTAAAGATATTTAATTATCCAAATAGAATTGAAACCTACTCCAGAATATTATTTAATCAGCTCTTTTTCAATGCGCATGTCTATATTTGATTATGGCCAAATAGACAATGGTTATCTGCCTAAGGAAAAGGATGGATTCGTGAAGGACTTTGTAATGAAAACTGATTTGTAGGTACGTTACATATGAGAAAAGCCACGACAACGCCCATGCAACTAGCCCATTCCCCAGGATTCGAACCCGGAACCGAACTACCAATGTTCAGCGATTTTACCGCTAGGCTGCTGGTGGGCTATGCGTATATTTTAATTGATGCTTAAATTACTTTTTATCCCATTTAAGAAAAAATTGTCTGCATACATATTTGTATAAGGAAATTGCTATAATGGTTGGTATTTGAAACAAATTGACTTATTTTGATAAAAAAAATCGATCTTTTTCAATGCACTGATTTAAATAAACAAAACTATTTATGATTTCCTGAAAAAAAAAAAAAAAAAAAAAAAGATTGGTTTACAGTATTGCCTTCTTAGTCCACGGAACACCATACCATAACTTTTCTTGCGAATTTTCCCTTACGGATCTTGAAACTTGAAGTTCATAGGAACAGAGTTAAAGAATATTAAATGATAATACTTCGAAATAACCTAATGCCTCTACAACTTAAATGTCTTCCATTTTTAAAACTATTTACTTATTTAGAGAAAATTTATAAATATTTTGGAACGCACAAATTTTGAAAAAAGAAAAATTATTTCAGACAAATTTCTATTTCATATTTAAAAAAATGACGTAAAGAAAGACTGTAAATGCTTAACAAATTGCTACCGGTTTCAGAAAATATCGGTGCGTATACTATTTCTATGCCTGTCCGCAAATAATTCAGCCAGCCAATCATCCAAGGATAAAAGAGAAAAAGAACGTACCTCTATCGGTGCAGCAACCGAGGAGTGTCACTACATTAGGATGCGGGTCAAGGAGTTTCATCACTTCAAGTTCATTCACCAGATCCAGCTTTTCTTTTTCTGATGCATTCTCTAATAAAAACAAAAGAAATCATTTCATTCATTTGCAAGAGGAGAATTTGAAATTTACAAAACTCTCACAATCACGGTTTCGATTAAATTATAGTTATATCATGCTCAAATAACATTCTGCAAAACAAAACAAGTGTTATTATTGTTATCTGGTTTTATTGCTATTATGATTTTAATTTTAAATCACAGCTTTCGCTTCCTGCTTTTAAACTCGCTGTCATGAGGAAAGACATTAACTTAAACATACACTAAAACCACTTAAGATCATAACAACAACAAACAAGGTAACTGACATTGGCTCGGATTAGACTGAAATAACCTTTGACATTTTAGAACAGAGTGCATCTACAAAGTTTTAGGACTAATATTTTTAACAAATTCCACTAAACTTTCCAAAAGTTAATTGACAACATCTGATTAGCTAGCATCTTAACTTGATTCTCCTAAAACATCGTTTACTTATGAACAAAACTTTTTATGCAGTCATTCCTTTGTTTGATCCAATGGAGATTCGCTAACAGGAGTTCGAAATATTAGCAATGAACAGCAATAAAGTTTTGCTGTAAACTAAGGAAAGCAGCAACAAAGATATTGAAATGCTATATAAAGCAAATGGGGAAAGTAACTCTTCGCAGTTTGGGATGGATGAGAACATAGAACCATCTACGCCATTTATCTTTTCAAATGATAGCTAATGAGCTTAACATCAGTCGCAAAGTCAGCTGGAACATCTTTAAAAATGAAAAATGTGTTCTCAGTTTATTTTTCACGAGCTGAGTGCAGACAAAATGAGGAAGTGGATTTCTGCGTGTCATGATTGGATTCACGTGACAAAATTAATCCCGGTTTTCTCAATTAAATTTTGACTAGAAATTAAACTTGGTTCTTCCTTATGAACCTGAAACACAACGGCACCTATCCACTTTGGTTGGAAATAGATTCATCGCCCCACAGAAACTTCGTTTTCCGCAGAAAATATCGCGGATGGAAACGGCACGAAGAAAACACCTCAAGGCGAAAACGTCGTCATACAAAAAGTCGTTGTTCTGAAACACTGTGGTACAAAACATCGTCATTGAAAATAAAGCGGTTTAAAAACTTCGTAGTTTAAAAGCATAGCCTTCGAAAATATTATTGTAAAAACAAACAACTTACAAGTTATCGCAAGACGATAACACCACAGACATGCGTTTTTTAGGCTTTAAAACTGGAAATGCATATTCACAAAATGATTTTATGAGTTCGAGAAGGAATGAGGAATATTTTTGCATTTATATTTCATGCTTTTTTTCAACTAACTAATAAATTTTTGCTGACAAAATAAGAAGCAAGCTCAAAAAACGAAAATGAGTAGAAAAATAGGTATAGTTAATAGAATCTTAAAACTTATATAACTAACTAATAAAGTTAATTGATTAATTAATCTCTTTTATGAAGTTTTATTCGTAATGATGCAAAATGAAATCTAAAAAATATTAGAAAAAGAAAAATACGTAACTGCATGTTAAACTGTATTAATAATAATCAATTTGTAAAATTCTATCAATTGTTATAAGTAGTATTCGTTTCTAAACTGTTAAAATTATTTAATTAATAATCAATTTGTAAAATTCTGTCAATTGTTATAAGAAGCATTCGTTTTCTAGTCATTTTCGAACTCTGAATGCTTAAGTTTCTTTCTTAATTTTTCAGCAAAAATTTATTAGTTAATTAAAAACATAAAAACAAAAATATTCCTCAAATATTCATTTACAATTGTTACAACCTGAAAAACACATGTCTGAGATGTTATTGTCAAGCGCTGATTTGTAGGTGTTTTATTTTTTTACCGCGATGTTTTTAAACTGCGAAGTTTTTGAACAGCTTTATTTTCAACTACGCGATGTTTTATACCACGATGGTTTAGAACTCCGATGTTTTTTTCCTTGCTTTTTTTCCCTCACACGATATTTTCTACGACGACATTTTCGCCTTGCGTTGTTCCTTCCGTGATGTTTTCGTCCGCGATGTTTTTCCCCCGATGTTTTAGACGAACACCGGCCACAGTAAATCGGGACACCTATCGTGTGGTTGCCGTGCACAACTGCTGAGCAATGTTGTTTTCTCTGTCTCTCTTTGTTCTGTTTAGGAAATAAGAGTACTGTTTTCTTTCACTTTCGATTCTGTACGAACTTTCTAATCTTAAAACTTTGTAAACACACTTCATATGTGGGAATGGAAAGCGATAAAGTAAAACAGTTAATATATCGCTTTCCATGTTACTGGGAAGAAAAATGTACAAAAATTTTATGTGGAAATTCTCAACGTGTCAGCTTTTGTGGAAGAGCGCAGTTTATTCTATATTCTAATTCGCTCAATGTTCGCTCCTATACTACTTGGTTCACCTAACCGACGTCCTTGATAACTAACGCGTTGTTTCAACAACTTCCTATTTCGGAAAAAGGTTGGCCCAGATACTTGAGTTTTAATACAGAGTAAGATTACAAAAAGAGTGATTTTCGGTACTTGAGGACGGCTATGCAAAATGAGGCCAATCGTCCGTAGGTTCCATGATCAATCCAGTTACTGATTAAGTTCCGAGAGTATTTGGGGAAAATAATTTTCTTCATAAAGGCTATGCATTTAAAGGACCGTAAGCCCAATCTATTTCCTTCATGATTCAGCAAAACGGAAGAAACGCCTCACTACGGTCATCATTAAGGTGGACATAACGGTTACAACAATAAACTGGGCAATTTTCTTTCCGCCAACTTAATGGCACTGAGTGCCCCCTCACCCCTCGGAACCTGGAACAGGCGTTCAACCCCTTCCCTCGCACCATGGAGAGAGGGACGCATCACTTTTGCGACATCGGTCATTGACTATGATTTGCTACCTGCCAGTCGCTCGGGCTGCCCGTCGCAGAGGGACATTACACAGTGGCTCGGGGACGCCACCCCGGGTTACTACAGCCATCTGCTCTAGGACTTGCCAGACCCCGGGCCGGCCAATAAGTGACATTTCCAGAGCCTCCAGAACCACGAAGTTCATGATTTGTATACCCCTGTGGCCGAGACTGCCTAGGTACAGATCCTACCCAGTAGCTTCGCAGAATTCTATACGCCGTCCCGGGAGGACATAACGGTAAGCAAAAATGGTCTGAGCTGGATTCTTGGGCGATATTTTAAAGTCTCATTAACAAACAGAAGAAGAATAAACACACTGAAAAGCTGCAAGGTCCCTGCAAAAGCTTTCATTATTTACCTCCCCATTATCATTACCATGCGATATTATCCCTTTTTCTTTGCGTTGTAACAGCATACATAAAATCCATGCAGAGGATTAAAATTCATCCTGTATAAATAATTGCAACATGAAAACGGAAGCATAGAATGAGAGGAAATACTTATTGATGAACACTAGTTGCTAATGGAAAAAAAAAGTTTTGGGATCACAGAAAACAAACAATATTGCTGATGTTGGCAGATTATGCAGTATAATGGTGCATCTTAACCAGATTATTGGTTACGGAGGTTGCGTCAAACGTGCCAAAAACGTTCAGTGATATGAAATATCTACATAAACTGTTTTGCCAGTTTACATACGTATAAATGAAACTTTTACTTGCAAAATTCATAAAAATACGCTCTGAGAAAATATTTACCGAAAAATAAAGGATCCATGAAGAGATAGATTTTTAGTAATAATAAATGCGTATTTCGTTTTTGGATTAATTTACTCAAATTTCAGAAATGCCAGTCAAGTTTCTGATGTGTGAACCGGAATAGGATCATAGTTTAATCTGAGGTTCCATCCCTTGTTGTCTCACAACAAATATAAGTGGTTTTGAAACCTAGCAGAAAATTCCCTTACAGAAAACGCAAAACTGTGGCCAAGAAATTAAATCCTGTTATTAAATCTTGTATTTATAAATATGCCTAACTAAGTATGCGTTTTGTACGGGTTTTAAAACGTTTTGTTGTTGTTGAGACAAATTACAGTGATCTATACATAATCACGACCATATCAATAAATTCATCAAGACCAAGAAGCAGAGAGTTGTGCCTGTTGTTGTCCAAGGCTTTTGGCACTTTATAGGTGACAATAAGAATTTATCCATCTATGTCCGATTTTTGATCAAGAAATCCGTTTGCGATGTTAATGTTCTTCAATTTTCCACCAACCTCTCAATAGGACTTCTGGTTCGATTACGTTTTATAGGGGCAATACATTGCAAATATAGTATACAAGTATGGTTCCAAGCATAATCCATGGTTTAGCCAGAATTTAAACCCAGGAACGATAGCATGACACCTGTTATCGCTAACCGATCAGGTAACCTGTTACCAATTAGGGAAACTTAAAAGACTTTTTTCCCTTCAGTTGACCATTTGACATAAGAGGGACAATCACAAAATGTATGCCTGAGATTTTTATGCGTATTTTACTCACAAATGTCCCTTTACTTTTATAAATGAAAGTATATGTCTAACACTCTAGAAAGATAAATTCGGACTTGATGTTTTTAAGACAAATGCTTTCATAACGGTGACCGAAACTTTATAAAAGTTTTAACATCTTTGTGCAAGAATTCGCGTGAAGCCAAAACTGACATGCAAATGAAGTGAGTGAATCGTTCCGCAAATTAAGCAAATGGTTTTGTTTGCCCTTCCGTTTAAAAAAAATAATTAGAAATGCAAATTGCGAAACGTTACCCAGGCAGCTGCAAAAGATTACCATATTCAAGTTCAAATGCGAGCTTCACAAAGGTGTCCATTACTTACATTTTGGACTCCGTTGTGAAAGTTAATGATTCGGTGAAGGTTAATGCCTTGGCCAAACTGCATAAATGTACTAGCGCTGTTCTTCGGTATTTTTACCCGTGTTAAGACAACTCATTTTGTGCTTACCTTTGAGGGTCTTGACAGCCACAAGACCGGCTCCATCTGTTGTACATAGATTGAGGGCTTCGCACTTCCACACTTGGCCAAAACATCCTTCACCCAGCAATCCTAAGAACCGCAAATGATGCCGAGGAAATTCCCATTTTCTGTTTTCAGGAATAATCTAAAAAAATAAATGACAGCAAACTGAGAGAAAATATCAGCAGATATAGAAACTCAGAATATATTTCAGTGTCATTCAGTATTTCAGAGATTTTGAAAATAAAAATTTTAAAAACCCAACGTTTTGTATTGTTATGATGGTTTATTAATTACAACGTACTAATTTCATTTAAACCTGAAATGTGGTTAGAAAAAGCTTTCTTTCAAAAATCCACTGCTGCAAGATTATTTGCTCTTAACAAACTTCGTCGATTTTGATGGAAAGAGTAACTTACGGCTATGCTTCTTCTTTATTTTCAAACACTCACCCACTGAATTTAGTTTGCAGTTAAAATTTTCTTAATTTTTCACCCCATTTTGGATATATCTGTTTCTAGTTTGTGTCCATTATAAATAAACATTAGAAATCATTGTCAATTAATAAAGACTAAGATTTTTCGTTTATCTCTCAGAGCGTTATATTGTGAACAATTTAAAAAGTTTTCTTTTGTAACAAATGGCATTTTATAACATTAATACATAAATGATTGACGTCTCTAACATTCTATAATACGTTAGTTGCAAAATTTCAAATGATAATACTTTTGTAAACAATCGTCTGCAAAAGAATATAATCTAAAGGATAATAATAAAGTTTTGCAATATTGTAAGAATTGAGTTAAATTTGAGTTAGTTTTGAGTTAAATTTGAATTACTATCGTTTTGCTGTATATGCACTCTTAGACAAAAAAAAAAAAAAAAAAACGACACACCGAGAAGATATAAAGCAAATTGGACACAAATTATACGCATACAGGTTTCGAAGGAAAATGCAAAATTTTACATTTTGGCTGCCAATGAATGAACGGTTGTCGCAATTGGCAGGATATTTAAGAGGAGAAATTACGATTCCAAGTCATAAATTCTTCACGAATTTCATTCCGTGTACTCTGGTAGACAGTAAATATGCCTCGCATACAGTTGCACTAACGCTATGCGCAGATGTCAGAATTTGAGAGAGTCGTGTAGTTGGGCTCAAAGAAGCCGGTTGGGCTTATCGGCGAATAGCTCGACATTTGAGCAGGAGCGATGCCACTATTAGACGATGTTGGCAGGAGTGGGTGAACCATGGCCGCACACAGCGTCAAGAAGGAAGCGGTAGGCCTAGAGAAATGACAGAACGTGAAAACCGAGCAGTTGTCAGAGCGGCACTCACAGTCCCAAATGCATCATTATCATCGATTGTACGTGCAACTAGTGCTTCAGTGACCGCAAGGACCATTCATAAACGGCTCACAGAAAGGGGGCTGAGGTCACGGCGCCCCTTGCGCCGACTATCATTGACCTCTTTACAACGTCAAACCCGTTTGCAGTGGTGTCGGGCTCATTCGCACTAAAATGTCATTGACTGGAGTAGAATAGTCTTCAGTGATGAGCCCCGCATTGAACTGAGCTCCGATGACCAGCGAAGGCGAGTCTGGAGACGCCCCGAACAGCGGTGTGATACCAACCTGACTGTCTTTCGGCAGACAGGCCGACAACCAGGAGTGATGGTTTGGGGTGCCATTTCATTTCATAGTAGGACCCCTTTGGTTGTCATCCGTTGAAACCTTACAGCACAGCGGTACAAGGTCGCCGGATCTCTCTCCTACTGAGCACGTTTGGAGCATTATGGGCAGGGCCCTCCAACCACCTCGGGATGTTGACGATCTAACGCGCCAGTTGGACGGAATTTGGTACGATATCCCTCAGGAGGACATCTGCAACTTCTATCAATCGATGCCAAGCCGAATAACTGCTTGCATAAGGGCCAGAGGTGGACAAACGCGTTACTGACTTTTTCACTTTGTAAAGCTCTATCACTTCAATAAATCATCCAGTTTTTCTCAAACTGTTATCATTTGTTTTTCTGTACATGTACATCACTTCTACCGACTTTCGTCCCATTCGGATAACTCCTTCTTGGTGCGTCGTTTTCTTTGTCTAAGAGTGTATATTGTTTTATGGTGTCTTTGTTTCACAATCTTGTCGAAGACATATTCTTTCAGACATAAAATTACACTAAATAAGGAAAATATCCATTTCACAATTTTAAATTTAAAAAAGAAACAGTTTTACAAAAACCAAAACCTAAATTTTTATATGATTTCCAAGTATCTCTATTTACATTTAGTAAAGTTTATACTAAAAACTGTAGAGTCATTAGGTTATATTCAAGAAGGAGATGTGAAAAAATACCTTCTCTCAAGATCTAATTCTGAAACCTATTGATATGAGTTTATAAGAATTATGTTAATTTTATTAACAGTTAAATTTTTAGTTAAAGTTCCTTTCCTATCGATTCTTAACTTCAACTTACCACTTCCGCCAGAGCGTAGTTTTAGAATCACGTCTGAATACATAATCAGGGAGAGCGGTATTTAACCGCGAAGTTCTTCGGTCTTAGGAAGAGAGATACCAGGGAGAGAGATTCTGGCTGCACGCGTCCGCCATTTTAGGCTCTCTGGTAAGCTATTATCACGCTCAGACGTACTTTAGACCCTTAATAGCTTCGCAGTCTATTAACGTTAAGGGGCCAACTCTGTTAGAATTTTGATAGCTTCGGCTAAACCTCTTTAGTTTACGTTAATTCTTAGTATTTAAGTTCAAGCCGAAGTGTCGGCTTTATTGCACACTCGATCACTCACTCAGCCGAGTTTTAATAACAGAGTCTGAAGATGGAGTGTTGTTAAACTTTAGTTGGAATAATAAAGGGCTAGTTTATCTTTCTATCTTGTTATTTCCTGTCCCACGAACTCAAGCGATTATTCGCTTATCAGTTCTTAAGATTCTTCACTTCCAACAGTAACTTAGGATTACAAAGTGAGGAACTCTACAAATTTTTTATTCTAGCGCGAAATCTAACATATCTTCAACACAAAATCAAATAAATGCAATTCTTGAATGAAAAGTGGCATTTCAATCTCACTTTTTACTGGTTCGGATTGTTATTCCTATCGAAAATATGCGCATACAGTGAAATGCTAGTTTGCATATCTAGAATGGTCTATTTTCCATGCTAATTTCAAGTTTGTTGAGTTATAAATTTTGATATCAACAGTGCACGTTTTCAATTTTTTTCCCCGTGGATGATTTGCCGTAAGTTTTAACCAACATGTTGAAATACTCACCCCCGTAGATTCACCCGATTCGTATCGATTGGAATTGGCCATTCGTGGGCGCTGTAGAAACAGAATGCTTATATGGGGATTTGGCTCCATGTCATCCGACATCTCACTTTCCCTCCTGTCTGACAATTTCTTCTCCTGCAGGAATACATCCAAGTAAATTACAGACATAAATAACAAGAAATGAACTCATTTAAATTTTTTCACTATCATTAATAGAGTTTTAACCGATAACTTATTAATTGCTGTGCTACAACACGAGTCAGAATTGGGAGTAAACCTTTCACTGAGTCTTTGAGAGCTTTATATTAATTTTTTTTTACATGGAAGAGCCGAGTGTGACGTTTGTGATTTAAGTTTTACTAATAGTTAGCTAAAAGTTGATTTCTTTCATCTACGCCTTGTTTCGGCACGTACTACGTAACTTTGTTGTAACTTCGAATAAGCTTTTAACAAACAGTATCAGTATCTGCAGCACTTAGCAGATTTATTTCTCTTCACCCTTAAGTGTGAATACTCTGCACCCTTAAGTGTTACCCTAGTATCTATTTCCTAAAATTTCTGTGTATTTTCACATCTTTTGACACACTTCTAGCGTCAGTTTAGGAAAGTAGGAAATTAGCTATAATGTTTATGAGGCGACGAAATAATGAGTCACTTTAGCATCGAGACTAGAGTAATTAGTAAATCACTAAGTTACTACGGAGAACAAATTTATCTTCCATTCTTACTCCTGCATATTACATTAGGAATTCTAGTTTTCATGCCTAATTCCAGAAATTAAATAGCAAAAGATAGTCGTGAAAGAAATATATATTTTTATTGGAGAGCATAAAAAAATGTTAGCAAATGACGCATTAAAGTAATATACTCTAATGTGTCATTTGCTAGCAGTTTGTGTATTTTTATGCATCTGATACAAAAGAAATTGATGTTCTAAATCTTCCCTGAATTTTTTTAATTATTTCTTTCATTGCTTTTTCTCCATATTTATGTTATTAGGAGTATTTAAATGAGCAAGCTGTAAAAAAAAATTGCGTATAACTTCCCAGAAAATAAAAGCGTCTTCTACTGATAATTACAGTTTAGAAAAAGAAAACAAGTTACAATAATTCTATCCAAACTGTCTTACCATATTTGAAGAGTTTTCTCCAGTATGCACAAAACAAACACGCTGGTGTACATTAATAACTGCTGCCATTTCTTTTTCTATGTTCTATAATGTTCCTCAATACTTTGTCAATGTTAAAATGTAGAGGAACTTGGTGAACTAAGTAGCGACTTATCGCTGAGTTCGAGTTTTAATAACAGAGTCTGAAGATGGGTTACAATACTCTTTTATTCACTCAAAGGAATGATAACAGATGGCCCCTTCTCGGGCTTATAGAAAAGCCTCCACTCGGATGTTTAACTCAAGATAAGAAAATAAGAAACTAATCTAATACTAAACTAAACAGACTTCGCCGATGCTACACACAAATACTTAACGCAGTTGGCCCTTTACTTAACCTAGCAGGCGATTATCAATAGGCAAGTACAATACGGCTGAGCGCAACAGATTTAAGAATGAAGTAGCCACACGGCAAACATGCTCCTATGAGGACTCCTAAGTTTTCTCTCACAAAGTAACTTGAGCCTTCCTTAAGTACTCCTCCTAACATATTTGCATAAAACTCGATACTAAAAACTCATTTTGGAAGGGAATAGTATATGGAAAAAGAGAACAGACAATAAAGCATGTTTAAACTTAAAATAACTTTTAGAAACTTAAAGTAACTTCTAAAGTTCCTCATATGCGACTTAAATTTCGAATCTATTCGTATACGTTAGATTCGAAATTATATCTTATCTGTCTTATCTTTAACTTGACACAAACTGAGAATCAGAAATTATCCCATACGATAGCAAATTTGCGTTGTGATGCAACTCACCAATTTCTTTAGTTATATGAAATGGTTATAATCAATTACCGTTTATTTCCAAATATAAGTTGAAACATTTTACTAAACATTTTTATTACTGACATTTGAAAGTGGGCTACCTACGAGTTCAAAAAGATTTACAAATAATTGGTTCACAGGAATAATATTGTAGGTGAAACAATTAGAAAAAAATATTTTACTTTTAATCAAATTTATTAATATCAGCAACTAGCTTGGAAGTTGTTCGCAAATCTCCGAAGGCAAGATCGAATTCTGAGGCAAGTTCGAGTGACGGCCCTTCGTCTTCCATTTCATCAATAACATTGCTGTCATCGGCCTCGTAGATAATAACGTTTTCAGTTTCGTTCACAGCATTGTTAGGCATAAATAATAAATTGTATTTAAAAAAAAAAAAAAAAAATCCGAAAGTTCTCAGATTTTACATTACGCCCAAAGCGGCGTTCTTTTAACGTTTTGTGGGTTACCTTTATTTATTAAATATCATGTTCTTCGCACTTAAACCATAAAATTCAATTCAACAGCAATATCGAAAAATAATTTTAAATGAGCCTATATTTAGAATTTCCGATACAGAATCTCGCGCGCTGGAGATATTTTTTTTTCCCTTTTATGTTTCCCTGTGCAGTGTTGCCATTGCTTGTTTTGAAATCGTTGAGTTTCTTAATCAAAAATTCGTTAAAGTGTTACAAAAATAAAACAAATTAAAACTACCAAATTTGGGCTTCCAGATGCCCATATTCGGGTGGAAACGTACGTTATTCAAAATTTGATGGCTCTAGGTATCGTCGTTTTATCACAATGCGAGAAACATCCATACATTTATACAGAATCTTCTTTATATAATTTCTTTAACTATAACATAGGGCGATAATATTTAGTGGCAAACAATTTGAAAAGTGAAACGGACATTTAAAGTTTTTAATGCAAAATGCCAAAATGTAATTAATAGCCCTCCTCGGCTAACGCCCTTTGAGCTAATTAGCTGAATATATGGTGTTTTCCTCCCGGGCATCTTTCCCTATGCGCCAGAAATGAAGAATCATATATTATTCGCAAAAGCGCAAAGGAGGATAAAATATCTTGTGGTTGTCTGAAAATGGTTGTCACAAATTGAAAACCAAAGTAAAATTCGCCACGGCAAAGCACCAGATTATGTCCATGATCAAAGTTCGGAGAATTCATAAAAAAGAAACCGCTGGCACCTAAAATGTCCTTTTTTCGTCTAATAATCTCATCCTGATTTTTTGAATGGAATCTGAAATTGAACTATCACTTAACTTCATTTTCTCATAAGTCTGTAGATTGATAGATTTGTCCCCTGTAGCTAAGTTAGATGATCAATTAATCGCAATTTTGGTGATGATTATAGCCGGATTTATAGGATTATAAATTTTACCTTAAAAACGGGTTTTCAGTTTTGACTGAATTTTTGGGAAAAAAGCTTATCTTTCGCCTCATACAATGGATCGGTTTATATTCGGAAATGCACGACATTTGTTGTAAAGAAAATTATACGTTACCGCTTTTAACTTTTCCTGCATTTTGCATCTTTTGTGTAACAGCCATAGTATAACCACCAAAACGGGAGCAAACGCAACCGTAGCAATTAGAGGGAACACGGTGGAGGTCCAGTCTACTTTCTTCGAGCCTTTATGGTCTTCTTCTAAATCTCCTACAACAGAAATATTGGAAGTGATCACCTCTGGAGACACTGATGGTACTGCATTCACTGAAGATACATCCAAAACAACAGTGACGGGAACTGCGTCATCGCTGTCAACTGCATTTTTTGAAGTTGAAGTTCGGACAGTAGACTTGGTTCTCGGACGATGAGGAGGCGGTCTGTCTGGAAATAACCCTGGATGCCTGGATAGAGTATGGAAAGGTGGATTAGGAATTAGACCTGAAATGGGTGGACCATGTCCATGAAGGGGATTTTCCACGATGGACTGAGGTGGACTGTCGTTGGGTTTCAAAATTCTGACGTAGACTTCAATTTTAGCCTTAAAAAAGAATTTTTTTAAGGAATCGGTAAAATACATATGATTGAATTTTATACTAAATTAACAATTAAACAAAAATGGAAAAAATTTAAATCAAGAAGACATTTGGAATGCAACAAGAAATATTCACTTACTGTTTGATGGCCATCGTTGGCAGTGATGAATAGGTAATAGTCATTCCCTGCCTGCAAAAGAAAGGAAGAATTAAGTTGAATATGTGATTTTGCATTAAAGGACAGCAGTTCCTTTTAGCTGTAAATACACATTTTTCAGTAATAACTGTGGCATGATGGAGAAAATTAAAAATTAAATCAGAAATATGATTACACATCTCTACATATAATAAAAAAAAGAGTCTGTGTATGTGTGTTTTTCGTTCGTGCTGCGCGTAAGCTAATAGAGCAGGGCTACGAAAATTGGTACATAGGTGCATCTAGACAAGAGTCAGTGCACCTCAAAGCGATTTTTTCAAAATTAGAATTAGAATTTTTTAAAATCTTCTTTTGATGAAATCGCATCATTTTGAATTGTTTCATTCTTTTAGATGTGGTTTTGGCAATAGTTTTTCATTCAATGCTTTGTATACTGGAGTGCTGACTGTTGAAAATAGGAGATAAAATATTATTTATTATACACGCAACACGTACATCGAATCTTCTTATTCTGACGCGCATATGTCTCGCGAGGCACAACAGAAAGAATTTCCTTTCTCTCTCTCTCTTTATTAGTTAATGAAGAGGTTTGTATATTTGAATTATGTGAACCACATAGCCAATTTTGATTGGTTATTGCTTTCTGATGATAATTGCATTCTTTTAGAAATGTGGTTTTGGCAAGAGTTTTTCATTCATTTCTTTGGATACTGGACTGCTGACTGTTTTCTTTTGAAAATATAAGATTTATTGCTTATTTGATTGTAAGTTTTTTATATTATGTTTTAATTATATATCATTTTAATTATATAAAAAGTTTGCATGATTTTTTTTAGGAAACAAAGTTCTCTAACTTCCTTTTATACCCACTTTCGATTCTTAATATTTTGCAACGAGAAGTTGGTTAATTAGGATAATTAATATTTGTGTTTAAAGGATATTGCTTATTTCATTGTACTTTTTTTAAAAATAAATACATTTTTTTTTTTTTTTTTTTTTTTATTATTATAAAGTTGTTCTGCAGAGTAAAATTCTGTGCAGTTTTTAAATTTAATGTTTGGTATTCCTTTTAAGCAATTTTATGGTACATTAAAAAGCCAGATGAAGGCTGGCCGAGTAGCAGCTAGTTTGATAATGCATTACTTAATATTGTAGAGCGAAATAATGAACACAGAGTGAGACTTAATTTTTTTCATTGCAAATAATAAACGCATGTCCAGGCTTACGTGGTTAGATGGCGGTAACATGCAGCAGTAAACTACTGTTGCAATGTGGATGAGAGCGTGGTTATGAGGCGGTGAGAATAGACAGATGCAATTTCACCGACTGTAGAAAAATAATGAAAAATGACAGCTTAGGCAATATGCTTTGCATGAACTTATGCAATCAAGCTATCATCAAAAATATGCGAAACCAGTTTTTTGGAATAAATGTTTCAAAATAACCGTTTGCTGCCTTTGATTTAAAAAAAAAAAGCAAATTTTCGTCTTGAAAGATGAGTTTCTTGGATCTTTACACAAGTCTCTCAGTCAAAACCTTTTTATGAATTATGATTGCGAATAAAAAGGTTAAGCAGATTAATTAATAATATTGGGTGCCTCAGATAAAAAAGATTAGATACAATGTTCCCAGACGTAAAATAATAGTGTCAAGGAAAAAATAAAGCGCGATCAAAAGATTTTCGATTTTTAAATAGTATCGCATCACTGGCGGTAGTTGTAAAGAACAACTGCAAACAAAAAGTTACGGACGCCTTTCAAATCACTTAAATGAACTGTAAGTTCTCCAGGTGTATGAAACAATATTTATTTGGTAAAAATGCAGCCTTAAATTAGCATCGCTAAAATAAACAGCATCAAAATAAGCCGAGAACACCGCGTTCTAAACACTACGTAAAAACAAAGGCATATTTCCTACTCTCCTTGCTTAATAATGGCCCACCAGCGGCCGAGCGGTAAAGTCGCTGAACACTGGTAGTTCGGTCCGAGGTTCGAATCCCGCGAACGGGCTGGCTGCATGGGCGTTTTCGTGGTTTTCCCCATGTGTAACGTGTATACGAGCCAGTTTCCCTTAGAAAGTCCTCCACGAAAGGCATTCCTCCCCTTAGGCAGATAGCCCTCGTGTGCTTTGCCATAATTAAATACATAAATACACCTTGCTTAATAACAATAATAATTGTTGCCATTCATCAAAAAAGAAAAGTAATAACAAACATAAAGTTGAAGATCATAGGTGAAGTAGTAGTTAAGTTTAAGTCTGATGTAATACTACTGAATAACTTCTTTGTAAAAAGCATGCTATTCTTTACATGTTGTGTGTAAACTTGAAAGTTCTCCGTAATTACGTGTGCAGCGCCTGAATTTCTCTAAATTGCTACAGTTCAGCTGACTAAATAATATTTTATAATCTTCAAAAATTGTGTATCTTTATTTTTTGTATGAAGAAAAATTCTCTTGGAATAGCAGCAAATTATCTTAAAAACCTCACATTTAGTCTGAAGTATGTGAGAAAAATGACGTATTGAAATGATTTTATCTCAAAAAAGCTATCATATGGATGTTTTAAAAAGCACCCAGATAAAGCATAAACTATTCGAATAATAAATATAAATTAAAATCGGTTAATTGTGTGGACAAAAATGAGGTTTTTTTGGGGGGGCGGGACTTCTTTACTTTATCTATTCGAATGATGAATATATTCGATTGCTAAAAACAAATTTGTCTGCAGGTAATAAGGTCAATGTCAAGATTTATCTTAAACTAAATATCTAATGCTAACGAATTTTTCAATATCTGCATGTGTTGAGTAGAATCCACCCTTTTTTGAGTACACATACATAAAGTAATTAATGTGCACTGAATAGGAAAAACCTAAAAGCGAAACGAGACAGAAGAAAGTGTCCCAAGTATTTAAGTCATCATTTAAAAGCAATTTCTATGACGGCGCTATTACCAATATGAAGCTAAATCCGTCTACAGATCTACCGTCAATTCCTAATTGATCGACAAGAAAGAACAGTAGGCGCCGCAACCAGGATACGAGAACCCGGATGTCGAGCCCCTTGGGGTCCACCCTACCCCTCCATCTTGCCGAAAGCCCTGCCTTATGTTGTCATTATTCTTTCGCATTTTTTTTTTTTTTTTTTTTTTTTTTTTTTTGTTTTTGTTTTTTTTTTGTTTTGTTTTGTTTTTGGTTGTCTTGTTTTTAGCTAATCCGTTCTCGTACACTTGGAACTCTAAAAGAATAGAGAGCATTCTAGATTTTAATCACAAATTCGAAAGGGCAATCTCTCACCCGCTTTTAGAACTTTGATTGAATGATGCGTTCTTTTTTTAATTTTTGATGTAAATTTAAAAAATAAATAAATAAAAATTATCTGTTTTAAACCGAATCCATTGGAAATAATTGCTCGAAAAAAAAGGGGCCTTTTTTCTATCTAATGCCCATTTCTTAAGAATACAGAAATCTTTGCTTTCAATCAAATCAGCACATTTTCAAGTGCTGCAAACAGTTGAAATTTTATTGTTTTTCAGATGCTTTCTAACAGGGTATGGGGTGTTAATACAATAAATATCAACTTAATATAATAAAAACTTATCATGGAAAGCGCTGAGCAAAATGTCTGTCAGCGAGGCCCTTTTAATACCTATTATTTTGAAAGAATATGATAACAGTAAGAAACATTACCGACATACTAACGGTATGCATACGAGCAAAAATAATTTATTTTCAAGAATCCGTATAATATGATAATTTGATATCACTTTTGATTATTACATTCCAGTCAGGCTTCAGTTGTTTACTAATATGTAGTAGTGATTAACTTTAAATTAATTACATATTTCAGTACCTATTACCGTTCACTAGAATAAAAATGTTGCCTAGATTTACATAAAATTGTGTACAATCTGGCAACTGTTTTCACATTATATTTTTCTGATCGTTTGCTTATTAATTTGTTTATGAATTATGATAAAGGATGCTAGGGTTGTATGCCAAAGCGAATGGATTTCTTCGAGTAGGATTTTGCCTGGTACTCAAAGTTGCACGAAATATATCGAGCTATTGCTTTGTCACTTGTTTTCATAAAATAATGTGATCCTAAAGCATGTGACAGGAGAAATAATAACTGAGTAATTTTCATTATCTTCCATTAATTAGAAAATGTTTTCTTACTTGTTAAAGTCAGAACAAATAATAAATTTAGTAGTCTCGCCATTTGCTAGTTTTATTCAAATCCTGAGGAAAATTCTTCACTTGTTAGGTCCACAGCGAACAATTTGATGAAGAAAGGCTACAGCCGTAAAAATTTATCATGTTGCGTTTTCTTGGATTACCGTGTCGTATGTTGGGAACCTGCTTTAAATATTAATTCATTTTACTTCTACTAAGGCTCTAAAGCCTTGGTCTACCAAAAGTGAGCTGATGTGCATTATCGTGGAATAAAATTGTGTTTGGAAACGGTCACGTCTGCAAGTAACTAGTTTATGCATCCTTTCTAACTAACTGCGCATCGAAAATACTACGTATGTATACTTCTAAGGGAAACTGGCTGGTATGCACGTTACACATGGGGAAAACCACGAAAATGCCCATGCAGCCAGCCCGTTCGCCGAGATTTCGAGCCCCGGACCGAACTGCCAATGTGCAGCGATTTTACCGCTCGACCGCTGTTGGGCCTACATCAGAAGTTCCGGAGTTCGAATCTCGGCGAGGGCAATGCACATCTTTTGCTCCGTACTTTTTCACGTTTCCTGCTCCAGAATAAAATACCTAATTATCTTTTCAGTATCTTTAATGCTTGTGCAATCTTATGCAATTTAACGTTGATTTTATTGCTTTAGTATCTTCAGAATACCTCAACATTTATACAACTTGCGCTGACGGCTGTTTTAGTGTCTTCAATATTCCCTATAAATTTATGGAAGTTACACTGAATCTGGCCCACCAGCGGTCGAGCGGTAAAGACGCTGAACACTAGTAGTTCGGTCCGAGGTTCGAATCTCGCGAAGGGGCTGGCTGCTGGGCGTCTT